CTATCAACAAATGAATGGATAGAGAAGCTCTGGTATATTCACACAATGGAATACTATGCTGCATTGAAAAACAAGGAACTCATGCAATATTATTCAAAATGGGTGACTCTGGAGGACATTATGCTGAGTGAAGTATCTCAGTCAGAGAAGGACAAATACTGCATGGTGCCATACCGCATTGAAACAGATGAGGGAGAAAACTGTTTAAAAGGAATATGTGATTAGGTATTTTTGTCATGACAGGAGTCTGGAGTGAAGGCTACATGGTGGAGTGGACCTGGGGGAGGGATTGCAAAACAATGAAATAATTTTTCTTTTACTTTTCCAAAAGGGTAGTGTACTGGGGGGCAGGGTTGGGAGAGGAGAAAAGTACAACAATGAGTGAATGGAAACCCAAAGTCTCTGTAAATTTTTACTGAAATTAATAATAAATTTAAATTTAAAAAAATTATCCTTGCTTGTTAACCAGGAGCCCTGATGGTGTACTAGTTAAAGTGCCCAGTTGCTAATCCAAAGGTCAGTGGTTCAAACCCATCAGTCACTCTACAGGGAAAACAATGGCTGTATGGCAGCCTGCTTCTGAAAAGAGCCTGAGATTAGGTGCCATTGAGTCAGTTCAGAGTGACCCTGTATGCACATGACAAAATCCTTCCCAGTCCTGGGACATCCTCACAGTGTTACACTTGAACCCATTGTCGTAGTTGAGGGTCATCCTTTTTCCACTGAACTGTTGATCAAGTTTCAAGGATAAAGTCTTTCTAAGTAAAGTAGAGGCTCAGTGAAAAAGAAGACGGCCTTCAACAAAGTGGTTTGACACAGTGCCTGCAACAACGGGGTCAAACGTGGCAGCAATTCTGGGGCTGGAACAGGATTGGGCAGTGCTTCTTTCTGCTGTACACAGGGACATTATGAGTCAGAATGAATGCAACAGTACCTAACCCTAACAGATCTTATGTCTTTAGAAGTGTTATCTCTCATCGCATATTACTTACTCCTATGAATGTTTAAGTCATTCGGAGATGGAATTCTCAGCTTCTCATAGAGGAAACACTCTTGCTGAGTTAATTGGGGAACTGCAAGCTTGGGAATCTGAATAAGGGGCCTTTTGCCTGGACTTAGTGAACCAGTTCAAGGAAAGCAACTTCTTGTTACAAACCAGCTTCCCATGGTGACTCTTTGGGGCAGTGAAATGCAGTTGCACCAACTGAATATTCCACACACCTTTCCCTATCCCATCACCTCCTTCTGCCTGGGGACAGTAACAGCATAGCCAGCCCCCACATTGTGAACTGCATATGCCAACCACAAGCTGTTTAGGTAACTCACAGGACCAACCAAAAATGATTCCGTGAGCCAGGGGCTTTCAGCCAACTACACAGAAAAATGAAAGGGATGTAACCGTGCTTGTACGCAGATTTTTCAAACAACTCCTATCATTTACATACAGAACAGACAAGAGAGACTTAGAGATAAAGACGGGACACTAGAGACCTCCCCAGCAGAGAACTGCCTGCACAGCAAACGATGGCATCACTTGTCACTATCAGTGGTAACTTCTGCTAGAAGAGATGCTGGAAACAATGCACTTGGACTTTGTTGCTGACATGTAGATTTGGGGAAAGCCATCTAAAAACATACATTACAATTTAAAATTCCCTTCCCCCCAGTGATTTCATTCCTGGAAAATTCCACGACGGAAATAAAAATAAGAGTGCATAGGGATGTGTGCACAAGCATGTTACAGCCTGGTCAAATTCAAATTCATTGCCTTCAAGCCAATTAAGAGTGGAAGGTAACCCTGCTTAGTCCCATCACAGCACTAATTTGTTGTGATGAATTGGAGTTCCCTTAGTGTTGCAGACCGAGGGTCCCAAAGAATAGAATAATTTTATAATAAAGAGACAAACAACCAGGAATGAGATAGAGCAGAGAGCGTAAAACAGGGGGTCAGCAGTTCTCGACTGAAGACCTCAAGCCATGCTTCTCTGAGTATTTCTTTAGAATCATAAGATAATAAAAGTAAAATCACAAGTACAAAACAAAGGATAATGGTGAAGTCTTTTACAGATAAGGCCAAGTTCCTCTTTATGCTAATCTCAAGAGGGAGGGATTCAGTTGATACAAACTAAGAACAATGTTGACTCCTAGGGAATGCCCCAGTGTCACAAGGTGGCCTTCAGTTTGTATCAAGCTTCCCTCATTTCCAGCATTTGGTCTACTATTATTAAATTTGATATTCGGCTTCCCTCACCTTAGGGCGTGGTTTGGAATACATTTTAACTCAGTAGATAACAGGTACATAATAGTCCTAAACTCTAAGAGAGAAATTGTTAAAGCCATCTATTGGCGTTAACTCTGTCACAGCAGCATTCCCTAAGGAAGACAGTCTTATAATTGTGCTGTTGTTGTTGTGTGGTATTGTGTTGAGTATGAACCAACAGAGGCTGTAAATTGCAGGGGAGGAGACTGCCCATTTCTCTCCCAGCAGCTGATGAATTGGAACAGCCTGACTTTGGGTTGACATCGTAACTCTCTACCTCCTGGGACACCTGAGCTGCAAAAAATGTGCAGAAAGGTATGAAGAAAAGGGAAAGGAAGCAAAGAAAAGAGAAAAGCAAGAAGCTTAAAAGCTTAGTGAAAGAGAAGATACTTAAAATAAGTTAGTTTTAAAAGCTGAGTGTATGCCGTACTCTCCTCCATGTTAGATTATTGTTCTTGTGTAAGGTCGAGTTGGAACCTACCTGACCCATAGCTGATCCTCTGGAGGGTTTTTAAAGGCTGTTGACCGCACAACAGGAGACTGTCCAGCCTTCTCCCAATGGAGCAGCTGCTGGATTCGAACCACTTGCCTTCGAGATTGCAGCACAGCTTCTTGCCACTGGGTCACCAGGGCTCCTTGTTAGATAATTACCTGTGCACATATAGCAGTTGAAGGGGAGGCAGTTACCAAGTTGTTTATCTCAAGACGGCATTACAGGGGCCTTTTTCTTCCTTATTTGTCTACTCTTTAAGTGTTATATAATGAGTGTGTATTATTTATATGATCAATGAAAAATAAAGCTATTTTCATTGTAGGTGGGGGACACTATTGGCAAGAAGAAGTCTCTGTGGGATGTGATTTAATGAGCATAGGGATCGATATTAATTAACATATCATTGTTGGCATCAAGCAATGTTTTCCAAAATCTTTGAAGTGTAGGTTTTCTTAAGCAGCCAAACCCTCATTGGAAACGTTGTTTGTAATTCTCTCCTTTAACAAACGCTGAGAGATGGAATGATTACCGAAGGAGCATGAGGTGACTGATAAATAAATGAGGTTTTATCTAGGTACCCACACCTCATCTGAGGTTAAAATACTCTCACCACGCTAATCTCCCGGCAACTTGTAAAACCTGCAAACTTTGCTAACTTTTGTTTTAACTGTTGGTATTTGCAGACTTCTCTGTGTTTTGTTGTGTTTTTTTTTTAAGTTTTCATCTTAAATCTTCTTTCTCATTTTTTGCTGGTTTTGTTTCTTCTCTCCCGGAAGCGCTTTGCTTCACCTGCAGCGACTCTCGGGGTGCCCTGCTGGGTGTGGCCTTGCAGCCTCTCCCCGCCCCCTCTCCGGGGACCTGCCAGGATCCTCGGGCCACAGGTGTTTAGACTTGTCTAATGCGAGGCGTGAGCATTCCAGACACTCAAAATAGGTTCTGCTTGGGGATAGGGGGAGGCGAGGGGGCAACGTAGGAAGCTGGGCTTCAATTGCTCTTTGTTTTTCTTGGGTGCTAAGGTGTGGATTTTTACTTATAACGACCCCATGTGACACTGTCCCATATAGGTTTCTAGACTGCATTCTTTCTAAAGATAGCGCCTCACATCCCCTGGCTGTGTTTGAGCCACCAACCTCTCAGCAGCCATTTGAAATGTTGTTGTTGTGTCCTGTAGAGTAGGAATCGACCTATAGCTGACCCTCCAGTGGGTTTTCAGAAGCAGTTAATCGCATGGGAGGAGATCGCCCATCCCTCTCTCACGGAGAAGCTGGTGGCCTCGAACCAAATGACTTTGGGATTGCAGCACAGCTTCTTGCCACTGGGCTACCAGAACTCCCTCCATTTGCAATACCCGGGGCTTTTTTAACTGATCGAAGCTGAGTGTCAAATGCTGGACTAAAGATTCAAAGGGGGAAAAGGCATGATTTTAGAGAAACACGACGGGCTATGTGGGCAGGGCTGATTGTACAGTGCTGGAGAAAGCGGAGGGTTAGGACACCATTGAGGAGGCCCGCGCGAGGGGACTGTGGCTAGGACTTGCCAGCAAGAACATATGCAATAGTCTAGCATAGTCCTCCGACTAGAGGCCTCTGCGCATCACGCAGGAATTTGTTAACAATTCTAATTCTCAGGTCCCACTCCAGATCTACCCAAACGATAGCTGGGGGTGGGGGGTGGAGTGCAGCAATTTGTTTTGGCAAGTCCTGCGGCTGATTTTTATGCTTGCTGGGGTTTGAGCTGGGGTTCCAGCAGAGGCCTGAGAATGTTTGCGAATGAAAGAGAAGATAATAATGTTTCATGGGCGTCTCAGATGCCAGTCAAAGGAGTTAAACTGCCCCATAGTGAGATTTCTGGAGTTTTTAAGCAAGGAGCTCTTGCACCTGTTCAGTTTCTCCCAACTTGGTCCTTCTGGGGGCCATTCCCTTGTGTACCCAAGGACCGAGAGTTTGTTCATGCAGGGCTGAGACCCCAGACGGAGAACAAAAGATTGAAAGATAGGCCTCTCCACACCCCAGTATGATGTTCTTGTTGTCCAGGATGAGGAGCAAACCAGAGCACAGAGATCAGGAAGACCAGGCCCCAGGGACCCCCAGCCCCTCGCCACCCCAAGGCCCCTCGAGGCCGAGGCTCCACCCCCGCCGGCCTACGTGCGTCGGCCCCGCCCCCGCCCCGACTCCGCCCCGGCCCCTGTGCGCGCGCCCGCGGCCGGGTTGCAGGGCTGGGCACGCGCCCCGCGTCCCAGGCAGGAAGATGGTGGCGAGCGTGCGGGTGCAGAAGCTGGTGCGGCGCTACAAGCTCGCGATCGCCACGGCGTTGGCTATCCTGCTGCTGCAGGGCCTGGTGGTGTGGAGCTTCAGCGGCCTGGAGGAGGACGAGCCAGGCGAGGTGCGCCGCCGGCCAGGCGGGCGGGCAGGCCGGCCGGGCGCGGGGGCGCGCGGGGGCGCGGGGTCCTGGCGGGGCTGCGGGTGGCCCTCGACAGGAAGTGGGGCCCAGGCCTGGCGCGTGTGGGGTGCGGGCAGCCCCGCAGCGGTGCGGCTAGCTCCCGGTGACCCTTTCCCAGGCGGGCATGGGGCTTGTCCGTAGGGACGGTGCGTGACCTGGAGGCCCTGGTGGAAGGCAGGCTGGGGGGCGGAGGCGGGCAGAGCAGGTTCCGGGGGGCGTCTCTGACCCAGAGCAGTTCGGGTCAGGCGTGGGAGCAGGACTAGGAAGCAGGGCTGGACCAGGGCCTGTGGTGGGGAGGTGGGGAGCCCCAGGCCAAACTTTCAGAAGTTGGGAGGGGACGGGGGTGTGCGCTGTGGACGAAGGAATGGGGACAGGGGACCCGCCGTGTCTGCAGAGCAGCGGCTGGTGGGGAGTGGAGTGGTAGGAGATCACATTGAAACTTGGGCCTGGGACAGTGTGTTCTGGGGGGCCGAGGGAGTGGGGAGTGACCCTGAGAGAGAGAGAGCTGGAGTGTTCCCTGGCATGACTTCCCCAGCTGAGGGGTCTGCCAAACCTAGGTGGGCTTACAGGAGAGGACTTGAGAGGAGGACTCTGGGTCAGGACCTGCCTACCTGTCTTGGTCCTTATGCCTGACAGAGTGTAGCATGTCGGTGTTCCCTCCCAGCATCTCACCAGTCTGGGAGGCCTACTCTAGAGGCTGACTCCCCTTATTTGGGATAGAGGCTGAGAAAAAGAGTGGGAGCAGAGCCGCTCAAAAGGAGCTGAGGGGTGCTTGCCCTTTGTCAGGGCAGACTGAGAGTGGGGTAGGGAGGCCGACTCTGGTATCCCAAGGGAGTGGGCTGGTGCTGTGTGGACCAGCGAGCAGGAGGAGATCATCTGGGGCTCCATGGGGGATGGAAGGCACATCCGAAGATGGAATGGGCTGCTGAGCTGCCTGGGAGCCCGCTGACCCTGGAGCATGATTGGACCACTCTGGGGAATTGTGTCATTGAGAGGTTTCTCAGATACACTTGGCCCTGAGCTTTGTGTGGTAGGACTGACTGAGATTGTCTAGCCTAGGGTGGAGAACTGGAGTAGTGGAATGTTAGAGATTCTGCCCCAGTCTCGTTTCTTCTTCCAGGACTAAAGGGGACAGGGGAAGTCCTGGACTGTAGTGGAAAGACACACACACGATGAACTAAAGGTTATACAGTCCAGGCAGCTGTCACTGACACTGGCCAGGCAGCTTCACAGGGCTTAGGAAGGGGAGCGTGGAAGTTAGACTTTCAGCCTTGGGATGATTCCTTCCACCATCCCATCTCAGCTCCTGCTCCTAAGTAACTGTGGGGCTACTTGGTTGCTTCATCTCTATCTTCAGTGTTCCATCTTACAGGTGAGGGTAGGAACAGCATCTTTCTCCCTGGGTGATCATATAGATTACGGTGAAGCACACACTGGCACATTCAGAGCTTTTGGTAAATGACAGTCTGTATTGAGTTGCACTGCCTGCTCACAGGCTGTGGGTCTTTGGTGATTCATACCCACCATTGGCTGCAGGGAAGAAAGATGAAGAGTCTTATTCTGCTTTAGCTTTGGAAACATGATAGAATCAGAACCAATTCAATGGCTGTGAGTTCTGATTTACTCTCATCATTGCACAGTGCAGATATCATTCATTCAGGATACTTATTTATTACGTTTTGCTTTGTACCAGGCACTGTGCTGCTAGTGGAGATACAGAAATAAAATAGATGTGGTCCCTGCCCTCTTGGAGCAGGGAATCTACAAGGAGAGACAATGAAAAGGAAACTCAAATAAATAATCCTAAATTTAAATGGGGCTGTTTTGCCAGAAGAACATGGTGCGAGGAGTTTAGATCAGGTGATCAGAGAAGGCTTCTCGTAAGAAGTGGCATGTGAGTTGAAGGAGCAAGTGGGAAGAGGTAGACTGGAGCGATCCAGCAAAGGCTTTGAGTGGTAGAAAGGAGGGTGTGGTGAATAAGGTTAGAGTCCAGCGCGGGAGACACTGAGAGTCTTGAGTGCATTATTCTAAGTGTGGTGGGAAGGCAGGAAGGGGTTTTAGCATTGGTCTGACCAGATGCATGTTTAAGATACACATTCTGGAGGGGCTAAAGTGGATGGCAAGGAAGATCATTAGCATCCAGAGAGCTGCTGTAGGTGTCGAAGCTTTCCCAAGCGTTGTCTCACCCTTGTTTTAATGGCAGTCTGAGAAAGCCAGAGAAAGTTTATGCGTTTAGTCCCTGTGACTCAAGGAATTCTGAAGAGGAACAGAAGTCAGAATGGGCTGGAGAACTTTACAGGAATCAGAGGGGACCCTCACCTCAGGTAGTACTGGGGACAGCCCCTCATGGGGCACCAGCATGGGGACCTGCTGACGGGCCAGATGAAGTGAGGCCTGGGGAGGGTCAGGGAGAGCTGCCCATGTGCCCCGCCCCAGCACCTTCTCAACACTCCACAGTTGCCTCCTGGTCCCCCGGCCTCCTCTGGGATTGTCCTTCTCAGGGTCAGCCAGCTCCCTGCTGCAGTGCAGGGCACCATCATGCCATTTCCTCCCACATCCTGTCCCCCACCGCAGCCAGCCTGGCCCTGTGCCCCATGCCCTGCCCTCCTGACCAGCTTCCTGACTTAGTGTCCTAGCCTCCACCGCAGAGATTACATGTTCCACGGCCCCTTTACTGTTACTGCTCACCCTGAGATGGGCCCGCACTGTTGCCTGCTCTGATGTTGCAGGTGGATGCAGGCTCAGCTCCATGGGGCTGCTTTGGCCATTCCTAGGAGCTGTCCAGCTCCAGGTGCCTCCCCAGTGAAACAGAAGCCCAGACTCACTGCTGTCAAGTCACTTCTCACTCATGCAGCTCACTAGCAGTTTCCTAGGCTGTAAATCTTCACAGACAACCTCATTTCTCTTCCTCAGAGCAGCTGATGGGTTTGAACCACTGACTTCTAAGCTAGCAACTCATAGGATGAGGTCAGCTTCCCACCTTCCCTACCCTCTTGCAGGCATCTCCTCTCAGATGGGCGTGGACACACTAGTTTTTTTTGGAATATCTTTCAAGAGATAAGACTATGTGGGTGTTGGGCCCAGAGGACATTGATGTAGAGTTTAAAGGTGGGGCCCTGGGCCAGGATTGCTGTTGGCCTGACAGGCTATTGTTCCTGTCATGCTTGGAGGTTGTGGGAAGTTCTCTGCATGTGAGGTAAGGATTGAACTCATGTGATGGAGCCCAAGTCATCTGAGGGCCTTAGACCCTTTTCCTCACTTATATTTATTTCCTACCGGATGGAGGCAAGGATGACAAAGCTTCATCTCACATACTTTGGGCATGTTGTTAGGAGAGCGGCATTCCTTGGAGAGGGACATCATGCTTGGAAAGGTAGAAGGTCCACTTAAGCAAGATGGATTGACACACTGACTGCAGCAGTATGGACTCACGGATGATGAGGATATCACAGGATAGGTCACGGTTCAGATCTCTTGTTCACAGTATCACTATGGGTCATACTCAGCTTCACAGCACCTAACAGCAACAACGTCCAGTGAAACCAAGGTGCTTCTTGGAGGCAAGGATAGTGAGGTACTGCCCCACATACTCTGGGCATGTTGTTAGGGTGGGCCAGTCCCCAGAGAAGGACATCATGCTTGGGAAGGTGGAGGGTCAGCATAAGAGAGGAGGACTCACATGAGATGGATTGACGTGGCGGCTGACACAGTGGACTCAAGTGTGTCAGAGATGGTGAGGATGGCGCAGCATAGGGCAGGGTTCAGGTCTGCTGTTTGCAGGGTCAGTAAGAGTCACACATAACAAGAACAACCAGTACTAATAATAGTAATAATGATAAAAGCCTTTCTTGGATGCTGAGTCTGTGCCAGGAGCTTTGCGTTTGTCAGTCAGTCCTGCAACAGATATTTGTTGCCTCCAGTCTCCAGGTACTCCTGGGCTCTGGAAATGCGTCCTCATGAAGCTTACATCCTTGGGAGCAAAGCTGCACTCAGGAATGCACTGCGGATAATGAATGCTGGGATGTTAGAAGGTGATTCCTGCTATGGGGACCATGAAGCGGCTGAGGGAGGGTTGGAGTCTGAAATTCAGGATGGACTTTGCAGAGAAGATGCTGAGCAAAGAATGAGCTGTGCGGAAACGAGAAGAGCCTTCTAGGCAAAAGTCTGAGTCACAAGCACGCCAGGTGGGGCGAGGGACACTGAGAAGGCCATTGTGACTAGAGTAGAGCAAGCCACAGGGAGTTAGATGAGGTCAGAGAGGCAGAGGCTGGGGGCGGGGACAGCCGGACACAGCTCACTTAGCCTTTGCAGGCATTTAATGTAAGGACTTTGGCTTTTATTGATGGTCTCAAGAGGAGCAGTAAGATGGGATGTAAGTGTTAACAGGAACAGTGCCATGGTGATGAGCACAGGCCACCAGGGAACTAGAAGATGGGGGACCCAGGCAAGGGTGGTGACAGAGGTGGTGGGAAGTGAACCGATTCTAGATCTATTTTGAAGTTAACACCAACAGGATGCAGCCAGAGTGTTCCTTGGAGGCAAAGATTATGAAGCTTCATCTCATGTACTTGGTATGTTGCTGGGGGTTGTTGTTGAAGAGGGACATCATGCTTGGGAAGGCGGAGGGATGGCAAAAGAGAAGAAGGCCTTCAACCATGTGGGTTGGCAGGGTCACTGCGGCAAAGGGCTTGAGTGTGTCAGATTGTGAGGATGGCACAGGACAGGACAGGGTTCAGATCAGTTGTTCATGGGATCACTATGAGTCATACTCCACTCAATGGCTCCTAACAACAGCCACCACCACCAACAGAGGTTCCTGATGGATCGCTTGTGGGGGTGTAAGAGGAGAAGATGATACCCCAGAGTTTGTGACCTCCATGGACGGAGCTGTTCTTCCCTGAGATGGGAAGGAGCCAGTTTGGGGAGAAAGAACAGAGATGTACTTGTGGAGTTACCTCAGGCCGTCCTCAGATCGGGCAGGCTCCCAGAGGAGGCGTCCAGCAGGCTGGCAGATAAGTAACTTGAGGAAATAGTCAAGGCTAGAGAGACATTTTGGAGAGAAAAGCTTGCAGATAATGCTTCTGACCAAGGGAGCAAATATTACCACCTAGGGAGTAACGAGATTGGACTGTGAAAGGACCAGGGATTGTTCAAGAAGACTGAGAAGGAATAGCCCCGAAGATAGGGGAAAGGCAGGAGAACACAGTATCCCAGGAACCGTGGGAGGAGGTGATCCCGTGCATGATGCTGCTAAGAGGCCACGAACAGGACCTAGAAGGTGGCTTTGTAGTATTTTTTTTTAAGTGAACTTGGGGAAGGGTGGTTGGGAGGAAAATGTGCAACAATGAATGAATGAAAATCCAACTTTTCTGTAAACTTCCATTAAAATCACAATAAAAGGGGGGGGGAGGGGGAAGAAGGTGGCTTTGAAGTTTGTGGCTGACGGCAGAGAGGAAGGGAGACAGCTGGTTCGGACAGCTCTCCCGATACATTATCTCATGCCTTAGCTCTTTTAGGACTCACTCTTCCCCAATGTATTTTACAGCTGAGGAAATAAGCTGAGTTAATGGTGACTGTTGGGAGCTGCTGATAAGGAGCAGAACCAGGCTTGTGCTTTTGTGACTCCAGAGTCTTCAATCTTAAGCATTCACTTGAGGGAAGGTCCTCTGTCCCTTCCAGACTGCAGCCAGAGCCCCAGTGTGCCAGGTGCTCTGCTGGGCACAGACACAGCTACCTTTGAACTTATAAGGGCTGCAGAGCTCAGAACACCCTCCGGGGCAAGCAAACTGGTTTACAGGAGGAAGACCTAAAGCTGGATCATGAAAGATAGATGGGATTTGGTCTGACAGGGACGGGGTTGGGGGAGCAGGACCAGGGGAACTAGGGCTTCCCTCACTATCTGCTGAAATAGAAAGTAGTGTCTGAGTCTAAAGCAAGAAAGGAAGTGCCTTGTGATCAGGGAGGTAAAGGGGACATGGTGACATGGTGTGAGGGTGGCGTTCTCTGGTCAGAGAGGTTTCTCAGCAGAAGTGCTGTGTGGACAGTATGCAGCTGAACTTCCAGGTAAAGGATGGATAGAGGTGTCTGGATGGGAGGGTGTCCTGGACAAGACAAGTGAAAGCAGGAAGAGTTGAATGCCTGCCCGGTGAGCTGTGTATGTCCGTCTCTTACAGAAAGGAAGACAGAGGAAGCCACGGCCGCTGGACCCTGGCGAGGGCTCCAAAGACACAGACAGTTCGGCTGGGCGCCGAGGCAGCGCGGGACGAAGGCATGGGCGCTGGCGAGGCCGTGCTGAGAGCCCTGCGGTACCGGTGGCCAAGGTGATGCGGGCAGTAACCAGCCGGCACAGAGCTAGCCGCCGGGTGCCGCCTGCCCCGCCCCCAGAGGCCCCCGGCCGCCAGAACCTTAGTGGAGCGGCAGCTGGGGAGGCGCTAGTAGGGGCTGCTGGCTTTCCACCCCACGGAGACACAGGGAGCGTGGAGGGTGCGCCCCAACCCACGGACAATGGCTTCACCCCCAAGTGTGAAATCGTGGGCAAGGACGCGCTGTCCGCACTGGCCCGGGCCAACACCAAGCAGTGCCAGCAGGAGATCGCCAACGTGGTGTGCCTGCACCAGGCCGGGAAGCTTATGCCCAAGGCTGTGCCCCGGCACTGCCAACTGGCAGGTGAGGGACATGGTGTTCAGTCCTCCCTAGGTGTGGGGTGGAGATGGGATAACCCCAGGAGGTGCCTGGTAGAGATCTCACCCTCACTTCTTACCAGAGGAAGCAGCCCAGAGAGGCTCAAGTTTGCACCAAGTGTGCTGAGGGGTAGAGGCCGAGTGTGTGTACTTCGGAAGTGTCAAGCTTCAAGTTGGGGCAGGCAGCCCATCTTCCCACCTCACCCCCACTGTGACCTGTTCTCTCCGCTCAGGGAAGATGAGCCCCGGCATCCAGTGGGATGAGATCCGGGCCCAGCAGCCTGCGGACGGCCCCCCAGTCCGCATCGCCTACATGCTGGTGGTCCATGGCCGTGCCATCCGCCAGCTGAAGCGGCTCCTGAAGGCGGTGTATCATGAACAGCACTTCTTCTATATCCACGTGGACCAGGTACTGTGCTTGGGTGGAAGCCCGGGGCCCTGCAGTGAGCAGAGAGCCCCTTGTTCTGCAGATAAGGAAACTGAGACCCCGGATGGGAGCTAGCTGCTCACACAGCTGATCCGGAGCTGGAGCCCTGCCCGTGTGGTCCCTTCCACATCCTCAGTGTTGGGAGGATGACGCCAGAGGTTAGAGTGCTGAAAAGCTCCTCCTTTCCTCTCAGCGCTCCAACTACCTGCACCGAGAGGTGGTGGAGCTGGCCCGGCACTATGACAATGTACGGGTGACGCCTTGGCGCATGGTCACCATCTGGGGTGGCGCCAGCCTGCTGAGGATGTACCTGAGGAGCATGCGGGACCTGCTGGAGGTGCCTGGCTGGGCATGGGACTTCTTCATCAACCTCAGTGCCACTGACTACCCAACCAGGTAAGGCATGGTGCCTGGACGCCTACCTCCCTGGGAGGGAGGCAGCTGTCCCTCATGCCTGGACCTTAGATAGGGGGCCTCAGTGTTAGAGGGTCCACAGGGACTCCTTTCCCTCCCCTTGACTCCGGCCCTATTGTAGGGAAACAATGGAAGGGATTCCTGGAGGATGCTGTTGGTTACAACTCACAGTGATCTGAGAGGAGAGAACAGCCCCATAGGGTTCCCTAAGGGAAGCGCTGGTACTGTAGACCCTTATGTGTTGTCCTGCTAATCAAAAGGTCAGCAGTTCGAATCCACCAGCTGCTTGGAGGGGGGAGAATGAGCATTGTTCTCTACTAATGGTTTGCAGTCTCGAAAACCTAATGGATGGTTCCCGTGAGTTGATTCAGCAGCAGTTAGGTTTGGTTTGGGGCTTAATCCAAGAACATATACTGCTGTCATGTGCCATCAAGTTGGAACCGACTAGCTCACCATCCATGGGCTTTCGGAGACTACAAACCACATAGGAAAAGATTACCTTTCTCACATGAAGCGGTCAATGGATTCAAACTGTGCGCCTTTGGTCTGGCAATGCAGCTCCTTACTACGAGACCAGCAGAGCTCCCTAGCCAGATCATTTCTCCTGAGGAGCCACTGGTGGGTTCAAACTGCCAACCTTTCAGTTAGCAGTTAAGCGCTTAACTCTCATGCCACCAGGGCTCCTTGATCTGAGGATAGAGATGGGGAGGAGGAGGAGGAGCCTTTGGTCTGGCCCTGGAGGTGCAGGGTCAGACAGCAAAAGGTAGAGGAAGGATGGGGGGGGTGCCTCAGGGCCTCCTACTACCCCAGAGCACCAGCTGGACATGGAGCAGGGGCCAGGGCGGTACTCAGTGATGAGAAGCCCCAAGCCAAGGGAGAGAGCCAGAGGGAGGCTGCCCTGCGACAGCCCCAGTCCCGCTCCCTCACATTGCCACCCACTCTGCCACATTCCCTCTCCAGAACCAACGAAGAGCTGGTGGCTTTCCTGTCCAAGAACCGGGACAAGAATTTCCTCAAGTCACATGGCCGGGACAACTCTAGGTGAGGAATAAGGTGGGCCTGGGTCTTGGGGTTTTGTCTGAACCCTCCTTGCTTAAGGAACTCGGCTGTCCCCAGCCTGGGGTTTTGCTGAGCCTCAAAACCAACCACAGACGGGAGGACCCACACCCTGCCGGTCCCTCCGCCGTGACCTGCCTGCCATCCACAGGTTCATCAAGAAACAGGGCCTGGACAGGCTCTTCCACGAGTGCGACTCACACATGTGGCGTCTGGGAGAGCGGCAGATCCCGGCAGGCATCGTGGTGGACGGTGGCTCTGATTGGTTCGTGCTGACACGCAGCTTCGTGGAGTACGTGGTGTACACGGATGATCCACTCGTAGCCCAGCTGCGCCAGTTCTACACGTACACTCTGCTCCCGGCTGAGGTAGGTGACCCTGGGGCTGACCCAGGGGCCCGGGGGGGAGGGTGTGCACTCAGGGGACCACCTCTCACCCTGTCCCCCCTCCTTGGGCTGCCTGCAGTCCTTCTTCCACACGGTGCTGGAGAACAGCCCAGCCTGCGAGAGCCTTGTGGACAACAACCTGCGAGTGACCAACTGGAACCGCAAGCTGGGCTGCAAGTGCCAGTACAAGCACATCGTGGACTGGTGCGGCTGCTCACCCAACGACTTCAAGCCCTCGGACTTCCTGCGGCTGCAGGTGCTGCCTACAGCCTGAGAGGCTGCCCCTTGCTAGGGTCACCCCACTGTTCCCCCGTGAGCTTTCCCAGAGTTCTGAAGGGAGCAGGGTGGGCTGTTCACCTGAGGAAGTCGTCTGGGGCCGCCCACATCCCTGGGCAGTCGGTGGCAGCAGGAAAAACCCAATAGGCTGGCTGGTCCTCATCTGTAGGCAGGCCGGAAGAAGCCAGGCTCTCTGCACCTCCAGACCCCTCCCTACTCTTTGCCTCTTCTTCTCCAGCAAGTCTCCAGGCCCACTTTCTTTGCCCGGAAGTTCGAGTCCACTGTGAACCAGGAGGTCCTGGAAATCCTAGATTTTCACCTGTATGGCAGCTACCCCCCAGGCACGCCAGCCCTCAAGGCCTACTGGGAGAACACCTACGACGTGGCCGACGGGCCCGGTGGGCTCAGCGACATCATGCTCACTGCCTACACTGCCTTTGTCCGCCTCAGCCTGCGCCACGTCGCCACCTCCACACCCCCTCCAGCCACCTCACTCTGTAGGTGAGAGCTCCTTCTGACATATTTTGGGGTGTTGGGTTCTATGTGTGAGACCAGTCAGAAAGCGACAGCCCCTGCAAATGGAAAACAAAAAAGGAGCCAAGAAAGAGCCAGGCAGGTGGGGGCCAGAGTTGTGAGATTTGCAGCAAAGGAAGTACCTAGGGTGGGACTTCCTGTAGCCCCTCCCTGGTTATCCAGGCCAAGCTGGGTGTGCTGATGGCATCTCCCTTTCTCCCTGCTGGAACCTTCTTAGGTTTGAGCCCAGGGGCTTGCCGTCCAGCGTGCACCTGTATTTCTATGACGACCATTTCCAGGGCTACCTGGTGACGCAGGCGGTGCAGCCCTCCGCCCCGGGGCCGACAGAGACGTTGGAGATGTGGCTGATGCCCCAGGGATCGCTGAAGCTGGTGGGGCACAGTGACCAGGCGAGCCGGCTCCAAAGCTTGGAGGTGGGATGGGTCCTCTCCCTTAATTTTTCCTGACCCTCTAGTCAGACTCAGGGTAGTGGGATGAGAAGGACAGACACCAAGGGAGGGTGTGGTTGGAACCCAGCTAAGCTTTTATGGACTTTCCTTGCACCTTTGATTCCCTGGCAGTGGTAGATGTGGGGATGGCCTTACGCAGACCTGCCCATGCAATGTAACCCCAAGTGTGCACACTAAGCCTTCAAGGCACACAGGATCCCAGCGGGCAGAGGGGAAGTGCCGGCCCCATTACCGGCATGCCTAGTCTTCTCACCCTCAGGAATTTTCTCCTGCGGGGACTTGGACATTCTGAGTGGCCCATAAGTTTGAGCTCTGAGTGTCTCTTGATCTAGTTCTTTGGCTTCATGTGGAATGGTCTCTGGGTGGTGCTGTGAACCTCATCTCTACTTTATTGTCCCTGTCACTGCAAAGCAGGTCGATACAAAAAGAAATCTTAGTGCACTCCCAGTTGGACCCCTACCTTTTGCAGATGGGGAAACTGAGGCCCAGAAAGAGACAGTGGTTGGCTTGAGGTTGCGCAGTGAGTTAGGGGAAATGCAAAGGTAGAGAAGGCTTTCCCCAGGCTCCTTCCCATCTGCCTCCCTCCCTACAGGTTGGCACTGAGTGGGACCCCAAAGAACGTCTGTTCCGGAACTTTGGGGGACTGATAGGGCCACTGGACGAGCCTGTGGCCATGCAGCGCTGGGCCCGGGGCCCCAACCTCACAGCCACCGTGGTCTGGATTGACCCAACCTACGTGGTAGCCACGTCTTATGACATCACTGTAGACGCGGAGACCGAGGTCACACAGTACAAGCCCCCGCTGAGCCGACCCCTGCGGCCAGGAGCCTGGACCGTCCGACTGCTCCAGTTCTGGGAGCCTGTGGGCGAGACCCGTTTCCTCGTGCTGCCCTTGACCTTCAACCGCAAACTACCTCTCAGGAAAGGTACTGAGTGAGTTTCCAAGTGATTCCCAAAAGCCAGACAAAATATAATTTACCAGGCTGGTGACCCTAAGAGGTTGTCAGAATTGACATCCCATCCCTAGGGGAGGGAGAGGAAGGCTGGATCCTGTGACCTTCCAGCCCCCTGCATCCCTGGGTCCAGCACTGAGGTGTAGAAAGGGACCTCTGTTCTGTGGTCAGGTAGACTGGTTTTGGGGACACAGCTATGCCACCAGGATGAGTGTCATCCTTGGTAAATGACTTGGCCTTCCTGAACCTGAGTCTTAGCTCACATCAAGTGCGGAGGTGATACCACTACCAGAGACCACTCAGACTAGTCCCAGTGAAAACGGAGACATTTCTGGAAGGTTGCAGTCCTCTCCTCCATGAAGCCCAGCGTCAGGATGACAGGTGTCACTAGAAGCTAGAGGCCCCTCCCTGTCTCTCTGGATCCCTGCTGGCCTCAGGCTCTCACTCTCTGGCTGGGCCTGCTTCTCCATATATGACTGCACTGAGATTGACCCCAAGCTCTTGAGTCCTGGCGTTACATCTAACTGACCATCTTGGTCCCCTGTGCGACCCTTCACCACTTGGCCAAGGCAGAGGGTACAGGCATGAACAGAAACACAGTTAATCTGGGAAGGGTCCCATAGCGGAGAATGTCATTAGACCAGAGGGGCCAGGGGAGGAGGTAGGTGCTGGCAGTGTGATGGGGAAAAGGATTCTGAGCAGAGTGGACAAAACTGGGAGGAGTTTGACCTGAGAGGAACAGAGGGCGAAGCAGGCAGGGGGTGAAGGGAACTGAGGATGTTAGTTGGGTCAGGATACAGGCAGGATGGCTGGCTGGTTGGAGAGCTGGGTATGAGGCCCTGACAGCTCTGGGAACCCCGGGATTGGTTGAGAAGATGTGTGGGTAACACAGCCAGTCCATTTTAGGGAAGGAACCTTATTTTCTAATGTGCCTTGGACTCTGCTTTTTAAAAAATCTTACAGACCTTACAGGTCTTAGAGGTTATATATGTTACCATCTTGATTTTTAAAAAGCAAGGCACAGAGAGTTTGGTGGGATAGCTCAAGACCACTCAGCAAAATGGGACTGAGTGGTGGAGAGGACACAGGACTTGGAGGGTCCCCAGGCCCAATTCAGGGCTCTGACCTCTGTGATGTGTTGGGTGGGGGTGTGCTCATTGCCTGCTCTGTATCCCCAGATGATGCCACCTGGCTGCACGCCGGGCCACCCCACAACGAGTACATGGAGCAGAGCTTCCAGGGCCTGAGCGGCATCTTGAACCTGCCTCAGCCTGAGCCTGTGGAGGCCACGAAGCGGCGCACAGAGCTCACGGGACCTGCGCTGGAGGCCTGGACAGACAGGGAACTGAGTGGCTTCTGGTCTGTGGCTGGACTGTGTGCCACGGGTCCCTCCACGTGCCCCTCACTAGAGCCCTGCAGACTGACCAGCTGGAGCTCTTTGTCCCCCGACCCCAAATCAGAGCTGGGGCCTGTCAAAGCAGACGGGCGACTCAGGTAGCAGGGCCCCAGCCAGCCCTGGAGGACCCAGGGAATTGCACCTTAGAGACAGCGGAGGGATGTCCCCTCCCACGGGCAGAACCGGGCCCAAGCAGCAGCCATTCCAGCCATCAAGAACCCACAGGACCGCAGGGAAACTGCACGACTGCCGGCTCTGCACGGACCAGAGGATGGTGGGATTGTGGGCAGGGGGCGCCAGCGTTCCACACCCGGCCCCTCCTCACTTTCCCTTCTAGTTTGTATTTTTTTATTTAAAAGAGAAATTGGGTGGTCGCGGGAGGAACTGGAAACAAAAGATGTGCAATAGGGCTCAGAGCAGCCCAGGAAGTGGGCCATGGCTCTGGGGAGCCAGGGCCCTGATGAGGCCATCTGCTGTGGCTCTGGATGGGGCTGGGCCACTTTGCTCTCCAGGGCCCCTCCCCCGAGCCTGGCGGGGGGGGGGGGGCTCTTAAGGACATGAGGAACCCTGCCAGCTTCCAGGCCTTGCAGTTCTGGGGAGCTCTGCGTGACAGCCCATACTAATGCAGCCAGGAGACCCTAGAGTGGCCCTAGGGCTCTGCAGGGCACCAGCCCCTCCTGAGATGCCAAGTCCCAGGTACCCAGAACTGCAAGCCGGTCCTGGTCTCCCCGCCTGGTGGGCAAATCCTCATGAGCATCTGGGAAGATCACTATCGAGGGTTTCAGAAGCACCTGGGGAGCACTGTGCTTGAAGCTCAGTGTGAAGTCTGAAATATGCAACAGAAGAAATATATCTCTATCTCTCTAAGCTGAGCCTCTGTGTTTTCCCTCCTGGATGTCAGGGAGCCATCATCGTCAGGCCTTCTAGAAATCTTAGAACTTTAGGAGCCATGATAAGGTAGAAGTTTCCATTCCTGTTAAGTGGGATCATAGGTGGCCTCGTGGTAAGAAGCCGCACTGCAATCTCGAAGGCATGTAGTTTTTAGTCTACCAGCTGCTGCACAGAAGAATTCTCCTGTGCAGTTTACAGCCTGTGAAAATCCACTGGAGGGTCAGCTCTGAGTTGGTTCCCACTCCATGGTACTCAACAACAGGTGGGAACGAATTCACCCTAGGGACGGGAGTCACAGAACCTATGGAATCCTGCTGCTTCCTTCTGAGAAGCAAATGGGTCAGAGAGGCTTGGCGACAGGCCCCCAGCAGGCTAGCAGGAAAGCCGAAGCTCCAGCCTAGTTACTGAGATGTCTGGCCCAGCCTTGCGCTTCCTGCCCTGTCCCCCTCCCACCACACCAGGACTGGGCAGATGCTGGCCTCTGCCTCCAGTGTCTGTAGTTCAAGCCTGAGATCTCAGTGCTCCTTACTCTTGGTTCCTGCCCAGCCCTGACTTAGGGAGCATCAAGAGCCTAGGTGCCTCTAGCTACAGCCAGGTGGTTATAGTTGGCGCTTGTCTTTTTAGGGGCAGGATCTTTAGCAGCAGGGGCTTGGGTCTCGGTCAGTGCCAAGGGCATGCTGGAAAGATTTGTCATCCCATTGTAAGGGCTCCGTATTGGTCATCCACACCTTATTGTGGGAGTGAGGATGAAGTTCTCCCAGAATGCTATAAAGTCACCCTATGAGCCAGCCCTGTTAGCTCAGAATGGAAGACAAATCCTGCCCAGGCTGCCACATGGATAGTTCTAGTTGCCAAGAGAGGGCACCCTTGACCACTAGTAACTGTTGGGTTCTTGACTGCTCCCTGCATCTCCCTTTATTATAGCCCCTTGAGGGACATCATTGTCTGCATTCAGATCACGAATCTGAGGCTTAGGCTGTGAAATGTCTTGAGCCCAAAGCCTAGCTCGTAGGTGGTGGGAGCCGGCTTCAGACTAAGCCCCTAGCTTGTTACGTCTGCTTTCAGAAGTGCAGGCTGGGCAGGTAGCTGGGTAGGGGTTAAAAGCTGGAACTCAAAGGAAATGGTGTTGCGTTTCTGGGACTCAGGCAATTATTTTCTGGTTCCTATTTGAGGAAAATGTAAACCTTGGTGATTCAATGTGATGTGTCAAGCTGGTATCCAAAGTGGTGGTGGTTCAAATCCACCAGATGCTCCTTGGGAGAAAGATGGGCAGTTTCTGGTAAGGTTTACAGCCTTGAAAACCTCATGGAGGGCTGCGCTGAGTCACAGCCAACTCTGTGGCAGTGGGTGTGGCTTTTCTAGTGACTATTTTGACAAAAAGTGGCCCTGGCGACAATGGTTTAGTGCTTGACCACTAATCAATAGGTCAGCAGTTCAAACCCATCCAACTGCAGTGGCTTTGAACTGCTGACCTATGCAAGAAAAGGCCTGACAGTCTGCGGATTACACCCTTAGAAATTTGATGCAGCAGTTTCATGCTATCATAGAGGGTCTGAGTCTGAATCAGCTAAACAGCCACATCTGAGGAAAGATCTAATGTTCTACCGTTTCTTAATTTTTTTTTTAACTCTCAGGTCAATAAGAATGAATAGCTTCATTCAGCATAATAGGCACATAAACATTCAGATTCTGACTAAGCAATGACAAACCAGCCTGCAGGCTAAACCCAGATTGCAGCTACACTGTTAGGCGAGCATATTTTTACAGCATTGCTTTTGGAATTTAGGAAGGACACTGTCACTCCCTAGTATGTTGCACCAGGCCCTGTTACTCAGTGCTGTCACCTGCTGTGAACATTCTGCCTCTGCACTCTTAATAGTCAGGGGATTGTGTTGCTGCCTGAGGGTTCTGATTTAATTGGTCTGAGGGGCAGCCTGGCCTTGTGTTTTCAAAGCTCCCCAGGGATTGCAATTTGCAGGCAGGCTCAGAACTGTTGAATTCAAGCTGACCCCTACAGCTCTGGCTGCATGTCTGGCCCACCAAGTTAAAACCCGTTTGGCACCTGACAGGTTCAGAGGGCAGGCTTGGGGTGGGGGCATCCCTTATTCCACCTTTCCCTTGTTTAGGTCTTGAGGCAAATTCAAGTGTGACTTGGGGATGTTTCTCTGCCTGCATTCCTGACAGTGTTCCCCACTCCCATCTTTCTGTAGTGTCAGCTCAGCCTGGGGTCTGGACTTTTCCAGGCTGCTTTTAAATCCTTCCTTGCCTGAGCCCCCGGGGTCAAGATTCAGGCAGGGCCAGGCGAGATGTAAGCATGAAAGGAGTGAGGGGTTCGTGCAGACAGGCTGGCACCAAGAGGCTCACAATAATTCCTTTGGAGACATGGGGAGAGTCTGGGCAGAGCAGCTTTTGTATTTTGTGGCCCGCGTGCCCAGTTTCCTGGGCAACCATGGACCCAATAGTTCCATTAGAGGATAACCAATTGGTGCCCAGAACCCAGTTACTTCAGCCAATGGGAAGTGACAGTGGGCAGAATTGGGAGGGAGGGGATCTGGGGCAGAGAACAGCAGAGACCTGAGCAAGTTAGTGCTCTCTTGGCTGTACATGAGGTTCTGCAGAAGCCACACTTGATCTCACCAACCCTTTCTGAAAGTTGTGGAGGGGCCCTTGGGTAGCTGCCAGGCATGCAAGAGGAGCCATCCATGGGACATGGTTGCAGCTGGTTACTAGCCAAGACAAGCAGAGGCAAAACCAGCTGCACATACTCATGGGCTTTGAATGAAGCTGTCTCTCTGGGCCACAGCTCCTGGGTTCAGTAGTGGCCCCCAAGGGAAGGCCATCCCTGTGGCCATGCTGGCTGCCCCCTAGGTCACTCAAGGCTAGTGGCCCTTTTTGGCTCCCCTCTGTCACTGCTTGCTCACCTGCAGACATCAACTATGGACAACAGCCTTCTAGCCATAGTTGTGGCCACTGTTGAGTACGTACTGCCAAGTCTGAGCTGGGGTACAGACACCTAGAAGCCTCTGTAGAGTCACCTAGAGCAACCATCTCCTCTCTTCCAGCCATGGAAGAACACTGTGTGGCTGGCCGGTGGTCCCAAGTCCTCTGATGCCAGTCCAAGATGGCAGGAGTCTGTGATAGGCACCAGCCCTTAGGAGCTCTCCTGTCTCCTACTGTGTACCACTAAGTTGGAACTGACCTACAGGTGACCCTTTTCAGAGGCAATAAATCACGTGGGAGAAGTTGGTGGATTTAAACTACATACCTTCAGGATTGCAGCTCAGATTCCTACCACTAGGCCACCAGTCCTCCTGTCTCCTAAGAGCCACTAATTTGAAGGGCACGTGCCCTGCCACAGGGAGCTCTGGTGTCATGGTCCATGGGGAGATGTTCTGCTAACCCCAAATATCGTGCCTCTCTGTTGGTTCAGATCTACCAGTGGCTCTGTGGGGAAAAAGATCTCATTTCCTACAATTTAAGCTTTGGAAACCCACTGGAGGGTCAGCCGTGAGTCTGTTCCAATAGGAACCACTTTGACTTTGATGCCCTGCCCCAAGCCCCTTTCCCTCCCCAAATTTCTACCTCTATAGTCTCCTCTCCACACATCGCTCCTCCCTGGGCTGATGGAAGGGATGGGATCAAGGTCCTCTGCTCTCCCTCACAAACCTCTGCCACGGGGAGTTGGTGCAGCAGAAAAGGGAACCCAAGGTCCAGCCCTCTGCTGCCTGCACCTGTGTCCCCTGCTCACGCAGCTGACACCACACCCAGCCAGATCACATCTCCGTTTGATCTGGGAAGGGGCCCGTGCAGTCAGGGCCAGGCTGCAGCCCTGATCGTGCCTTTGTGGGGAAGGTAGTCTCGTCCCTGGTGTTCGTCATGGCTGTCCTGCTGCTGTACCAGCGGTATTCTCAGTGCTGCCAGCTCCTCTGCTCCTGCCACTTCTTCCGGAGCCCCCATCAATATGTAAGCACCCCTGCCCCTACCAGTCCTGCCCCAAAGACACCTGCTCTCTGACCAAGGAGAAGCAAGTGCTCCATGTGCAGAAGCCTTTGGAGTCTCCACATCTTGAGTCTCTAATTCCTTGAACCACGGCAACAACAGGCAGAGTTAAAAACTTTCTGGGCTGCCTCTTCCCTGGCCATTGCAAAGCTGGGCACTCTGGGGAGCTGCTCAGGGAAGATAATTGTTTCTCCCCCAGCTCTCTGAGCAGCCAGTGACCTTCCCTCTCCCCAGCTCTCCAGGGAGGGCCTCTGATGTTGTGGGAGGGGGGAGGTGCCACACCAGTACTGTCAGTTCTCTCCCTAGGGACTGGGCACCATATGGAATCCTGGGAACAGAAAACAAGAGCAATTTTTTGAGCTACCACCTCTCCAGGCTCTGGTCCTCCAGCTCTGAGCACCAGACTTGTGTTGAAGGATGGGAATAAGTGGAAGACATTCTCTCCACAAAGGCCATCCGAGCTGGCAGCGGTCATGAGAGTGAGCCACTGGTCAGAGGAATGCAATCTCTTTCCAGCTGAGTGCATTTCAGAAATGCCGAGGGTCTGCCCTGTGTATCTAGGACTAGGTGGGAAAGGTTGAAAGGGTGGCAGATGAAGACAACAAAGGGCTTGGCCTCTGCTCTCCAGCTTCACTCCCATTCTTCAATGATCTCTAGGATGGTCGTCCACCCTGCTTCAGCACCATGAGGTCCAGAGCCGAGGTCCAGCCAATGGAAAGGAGACAGGAGTCTCTGGGGACACAGGTGAGAGGACCTTGAGGGCTGCCACCTGGGAATGGAGAGGTGTGTGCAGAGGTCCAGAAACCAGGCATGGGGGTCTTGTATGATCAGGCTTAGACTCAATGCAGGGGAGCAGAAGAAAGGGATGGGGCCTAGAGGCACTTCCTGGAAGGGAAGAGTGCAGTGCCCTGAATCCTAGGCTGACTCTGGGGACAGGATCTAAACTGAACCTGGGTGATGGCTGGACGTTCCTGCCCTGGCTTCCTCAGTGTTCCTGGTCACAGGGTTATCACCACAGCCACGAGGTTTTCTGTGTAGGGCTGCCCAGCAGCTACTGATTGCCCAGGTGGCAGCCAGTTCACCAGCCCAGCTACGAAAGTGTACGAAAGAAGGACCACCAGCAGCAGCAGATCCACCAGCTGATTGCACAGCGCTTCGGGCTTTGGGCCTGCGCTTCGGGCTTTGGGCCTGCTGAAAGGTGACGTAAGCCCTTTACACATACATCTCCCCTCTGAAATCAAGGCAGGGCCACTGATGAAGCACCCCAGAACTTGGCCAAAGGTCACCTCCGTGCACTTTGTCTATTTGGACAGAAGGAAGGATGACAGAGCCCAGCCCCGGAGACCTGTCCTACAGCTTTAGAGGGGTACTGTGGAGCCAACACAAATTGTTTCCTGGGAAGGATCAGACACAGGGGATGGGACAGGACAGAACAGTCCAAAGGAAGGGCATGTCTGTATGGGGGAGTGCAAGGGAATGGCTAACACCTTTGCTGCCCCACCCCTCCCGCTGCCACCAGTTAAGAGGAAGCCTAAGGTTACTGTCTGCACCACCATTCAATCACAACTCTACCTACCTATGCCAGGAAGCAGCCACCTGCCCCAATCAAGGAAACACCACTGTGTAGGAGGGGCTACCACACCTCTCCATCCTTTCATCCCTCACCTCCAGGGGACTAGAAAAGACAATGCTGGGCTTACCGTTTCCCCTGCAACAGCAGCTGGGCCTTGGCCCTTGTGCCTGTGCAGAGACAAATGGAACCAATGATCTAAAGGAGATTGAGTTCATACTCCCAAGACAGTAAGATGGAAAGTCCATGGCAGACCTCCAGAGCTAGGTCTCTGTCCTCAATCCCTGGGGAAAAGGAGCCACTGGGATGAGAAACTCTTTGTTTGAGCTGCAAACACCAAAACCTACCTGTAGTGGACAGGAACACTCACCTCCAAGCTGACGCTTCATTCCTGGCTGTTCCACTCTAAAAGCCAAACCTCTAAAGGTCCTGGGTTGTACTGACAATGGAAGCACTCTCCAGGCTCTGAGTATTCCTGAAACCAGATTCTTTGCTGCTGTTTATGGTTTGAGATAAATCAAGAACCAGAGAGAAAGTGGGTGTGGTATTTGTTTTTCAGAGTGGGCAGAAAGAAGTCATTCGTTACCCACTCACTCTGCTTTGCCTTTGGAGAGGAACATGACTGACCCCATGGACCTCCTTCTGCCCAGTTCTCCCAGGGCCTGGATCCTGGACTGGAGGGATCCAAGAAGGGAAGTAATAGACCACCCTCCAGCTCAAGCCCTCTTTTTCCTTTCCCTTGGGGATGGGGGAGGGGGAAAGAGAGATACTGCCCAAAAGAAGCCCTCCTCCCGGTTCTTCTCTGGTATGAACCAGAGATCATGGGTAAGAACCAACAAATCAGTAAGTAGCTCCATCCAAGTATCCCCAAATAGTAGAGACTTATTGTCCAACTAACTTTATTCTGGCCCAGTTTAAATACCCCAGGTTTCCCAACTTGCTGACTTGACAGAGTCTCCTACAACCTCTATCAAGCACACTTCTTCCTTCAGAGACCTTGTCATCATCCTCGAACCTTGACTGCATCTGGGATCCAATTTCTGTCCAATGGCTTCAACCAGGAGCTCAAAGCATGTCAACCAGCTGGAAAGTGCCCTCGGGCTTGGTGGGAACCACGTGGACAAAAGTCTTGTAGAGCACAGCACCCTTGGGCAGCCTGCTGACCAGGTCCACAGCTTCTGCGTCCTTAGGATTGGGCACGTAGACATCCTTAGTATAGCGGACTATCCCTTCTTCCAAGGCATACAGGTACTTCTTCTTCCCCAGCCCCACCTGCAACACAAGGACCAGGTTGGCAGAATGAACAGCACAGGCTCCATCCCAGGGTTACTGGGCTGACCTCTCACAAGGATTCAGGGTCAGGGGCCAAAAGGGGAGGGTTCCAAAAGCTCCATCCTGGGTTCCTATAACTACTGACTTCCTTGCTTTCTGTTTACTTATTCTGTAACAGAGAAGGGAAAGAAAATGCCAACAGCCAATCCTCATGGCTGCTCAGTCCCTGAGGGCTAAGAGACAACCATGGCTGTGTACTGTGTACAATCCAGATCCTAACCCAGACTCGGGAAGATGCCCCAAGTCCCTGCCACTGGGAGCTTAGTTCACATGAGACTGGAATTGTCATATTAAACACTAGTTTGAAACACATTTTGATCTACAGAATGATTGATAAAGGTCTGCTCTAAGGAAAGTACAAATGAAAGCAACTTGAATAATGCACATGCCAAGAAACTAAGATGCAATAAGTGAATACTTAAACAGTGGTTACTATGTATGTGTAAGTTTGTTTCAAGCACTTTCCTGCATAATTCACTCTCTTCTTACTTTGTGAGGTATGTGCTATTCCCAACCCCATTTTATATATGAGAAACACAAGGCAGAGAGATTAAGTAACTTGTGTAATAAATATATTTATATAGTAGTTGTTGGTTTTGTGTACTGTCAAATTGGAACCAACTCATAGCTGACCCACCCGCAGGTTTTCAGAGGCAGTTAATCCCATCCTTCTCCCACCAAGCAGCTGGTGGTTTTGAACCACGTGCCTCTGGGTTGCAGCACAGCTTCTTCCCACTAGATCACCAGTGCTCCACTATATAGAGAGATAGCTATAGATGTGTGTGTATGTGTGTGTGTGTGAGAGAGTGTGTGTGTGTGTGTGTGTGTGTGTGTGTTAGCTGCTGTTGCCATAAAGTTGGAACCAACTCATAGCTAACCCTCCAGCAAGTTTTCAAGGCAGGAAATTGCACAGGATTTGACACGTCCTCCTCCAAGAACTGGGGTTAAAAAGAAGAACCAGTCTAACTCTACACTAAGCTTACTCTCTACTCACCAGGTGAAATGAAAGGAGATAAAGCAGGTACAGGGCTTGGCATCGAAAGCCCAAGATAAATCATTGTTGTTATTATGCTTAAGGTCAGAGGGAAGTTGTCCTAGGGGCAAAAAAAGGGATCTCAGAGCAACTCACGTGGGCTCCCGGGTGCCAACGGAACTGGCGCTGAGTCCCCAGGATGTTGCCGACATGAACATAGTGACCTGTAAGAAAAGTCCACCAGTGCAAGCACTCAGCTCTGGTCCCCGTTACTGGGGCAGCACAACACAGTGCGAAGAAAACACAACAGCTCCCACCTTCCTGACTCCAGCGCAGCCAGAAACTACCTCAGGAGGCTCCCAGGCAGTAATCCGCCTCCTGACCTCCATTCTCTCTCCAATCACACAGTTGAAGTTCACATCTACCTGTTCCTCCTCGTGCCCCCCTCCCTTACTCAGGCCTTAAGGGTCACCCCTTTATGCGCTAACCTCAGCTGGGCACTTGCATGGTTTCCCAGCTCTTCTAGGAAACATCAGGGGCAACAGGGCACAAAGAGCTGGGCCACAGAAGCCAAGCGTATTCTCACCTTCCATTTTCTTGATGCCATAATGTTTGCCGGGTGACTTTCCACCCAGGTTTTTGGAGCTGCCACCTGTCTTCTTGGAAGCATATCTGACAGCAAGAGCTGTCGCCTGAAGGGGGCTTAACTGCGCTGTAACTGTAGAAAGATTAACAGAAACACTGCTCAGACAAACAGGATTCTTTCTTGGCCTCAATGGACCATTTTCTCATCTGAGAGGCTGCAAGGGAGGCAGTGTCACAGGTGGTAAGGAAGACAAACCACTGAAGTATGTTTATTTTCAGGGAGTATCTAGAAGTTCTTCATCTTCACCAAGGGTTCATTCCTCATACTGCCCATGGTGTGAGCACTGAGGGAGGTGGTGGGAGAGGGAGGAAGAGGGAAGGTGGAAGTGAAATATAAACGGGGAAAGAAAATAAACAACATGTGCCCTGGGTCCTGACGCACTCAGACCCAAACAGGAAATAAACACCACAGAAATAGCAAAAGTCAGCAAGAGAACCCCACAGAGCAGTGGGCTGCAGCCTCACCATCATGCCCTCGAGGCCAGACCACTGTGCCCGACAAGAGGACATTGTGAGAGGGGAACACAGTACTGGCCTCGTTCACCATGGGCTCCTTTTAGAGCCTCCCCTCCACCCCCAGTCCACACGAACAAACCAGACACTTGTAAATCAAAAAGGCAGCTTGTCTGAGGGACCTGCCCACTGCCTCCTGGACGTTCTTCCCAAATCTCATCAAACAGAGGTCTAACTGAGAAGCTCAACAGCCTGTCCATCTTCACATGTTCTCTCCATACTCATTTAAAGGGCTCAGTGGTATTTACTTTTAAAAGAAAATGAACTCAAATGCATACTAGTCAAGAAGACACCCCTTGTAGTATGACAGACCCAGAGCCGGCAGTCGGCCTTCAGTTCTCCAGACACAGATGGTTTATTAGAACCAGAGACTAGCTGAAGCAAAGGAAAAGGAGGTAAGAATTTGTGGAATGCCTAGCAGTGAGATTTAATCACCTTTCAACAGCTAGTCAGTCATTCACTAACTTACTACATACATTGAGGAACCAGGCTTGGGTTATCTTTATCTGTAGTATCTTATTCACAAATCTTTGCCATCTTCTCCTCCCTAAATAGTGCCACCATCTATCCAGTTGCTCAAGTAGAATAAGAAAGTCATTGCACTCAATGGTGGTGGCAGCATCAATACCACCTTCAGTTAGAAAGCCGGCAGTTGTTTGCTTCAGGTGGCCTAACAAAATTCAAGTCCCACTCATGTCGAGTTCAACTAATTTTGAAATATTTCGTCCTTTGAAAAAAATGTCAAAGTCAATTTATTTAAGATAAATAAATTGTTGACAAGTTAAAATTGCAGATGTCCCTCCACATGCCTCACATAACCAGTGCACTAGCAGGTTCTGCTGTTTACAAAACACATTTCCAATCCATCCATTTCCCTCTGAGATCACTGATACTTCTTCTATTTTGGCTAAAACTTCTCTCTCATCGAGGCTGCTCCTTCGGGGTAAGGATTCTGAAGCTTCACCTGACTTACTCTGGGCATGTTGTAAGAAGGGCCCAGTCCTTGGAGAGGGATAGCAAGCCTGGAAAGGTGGAGGAACAGCTCAAGAGAGGAAGGCTTCGGATGAGATGGATTGACTCAGTTTGTGACTGGGACAGGCGTTTCAGAGACAGTGGAGTTGGCTCAAGATAAAGCAGGGTTCAGAGCTGTTGTACATAGGGTCGCTATGCGTCACAAGCGACTCAACTGGCATATAAAACTGTAATGTTCCATCTGGTTTCCCCATTTCATGTCTTTCCCTTTTAAATCCACACAACAGCAACACATGGTTCTCAATAGGGAAAACTCGATTAAGTCCCTCTCTTGGCTCTCACTCATTTGAAATGTTACCTCCATAAGGGCTTCCCTCACCACCCAGTCTCAAAGATAGTCTCTCGCACTTTTTCCTGTTCCCTTCATTTGTTACAACTTGCAATTATTTTATTTCTTTACTGGTTCCTGCACTAGAAACGACTGTTGAAGGCGGAGGAACCTTGGCTTCATGATTTCTGTTGGGACCCTCAACACATACCACAAACTGTTTTGCACAACCTAAGGCCTGAACCGGTTGAAAGAATGTATTTCTTTTTTTAGCTACAGTGTAGCACTTGCCGATCTAACGCCAGAAAGGATCCACGCCACGTCTGAGACCGGACCCAGCGTATCCTTGTCGAGGGCAGATGATCACGTGGTTCTCGGAAACAACGCCCCCATCGGCCTCTAACGATGTCACGTGATGTGCCACAGCCGCCCTTTCGGGCCTCGCGCTCCACGTACCGCACCCCGCACACTGCCCCGAGCCTCGGGCTCCCCGCGGAGCACGGGCCTCCTCTACATCCCGCCGGCCTCCCTGCTCACGCCGCCCTCCGCCCCCACAACACCCGTTACCAGCTATCCGCGTCCTCAGTGCTAGCACAGCCGACGCCATGTTGGCTTTCGCCGAGCTTCCGGTCTCACGATTCGGCTTCCGCTATCGGGGAAACCACTTCCGGCTTGTTGGTGGCATTTGAAAAGGTGGCGCGAGAGCTTGCAGATGAGCTCTCGCGGTCACGGGGCTGTCTGACTGGCTGGGGTCCGCTGCTGAGCCCCAGTCTGCGGGGCTTTGCGGCCCGGGCGCCTGGGGGACTCTGCAGGGTCCTGTGGGCGATACAGCACGACCACTTCCGTCCAGAAGCCGGCTTGCGGCGCAGTGTGCCCCGCTAGGACGTCAGCTCCTATTCCCTCCTTTGCAGCTGTAAACCTACTTATTAGTGAGGGGTAAGGATGAAGCTGCTGTCTCAGCGTTTAATTTACTTTATGGGGCTGTTGCTGTGTTCTGCAAAAGCGCTGTCGATCCATTATTTCGTTTCATTCTTAACAACTCTGTAAAGAAGATGATTATATAAATATGGAAGAATGTAACAGGAGGCCTGGGGGCAACTGACATTCTTTCTCCGTATTTTTTTTTTCTTTCTTCATTTGAGCATTTTGTTGTGGTTTGAAAATTTACACAGCAGATCGGTTTCCCGTTAAACGATGTATACACATTCTGTTTCATGACATTATTTGCAATCCCCTGAATGTCACAGCATGTCATGTATCTTTCCCGCCTCTTCCTGCTTTCTGAACATTGTTTGGGGCAAGTACTGCCCTTTTGAGTCTTGTATTGTTGATTATTCCGAGGATCCTTCCTCACAGGATATTTTTCGCTTCATAGGCCTGTCCTCTGTTTGGCTGAAAGGTGTGCTCCAGTGGTGGGCTCGCATCCTGCCTTGAAGGGTATCTCAGGGCCACAGTCAGCAGTTCCACCAGTCACTATCAGACCAGTAAGTCTTGTTTTTTCAGATTTTTATTTTTCCCTCCATTTTATTCCTTCTATGTTCAGGACATTCTGCTGTGATCTTGGGCAGTAGTGGTAGCCCAGCACCCTGCCCTTCTGGTCTCAAACTTGTGAAAGTTGTGGTTTGTTTGGTTTATCAGGCCTCTGCACTAATTGTTCCCTTGAGTCTTTGATTTTCTTTACTCTTCTTTGCTCGAGATGGGAAGAGATCAATTGTTGGATCTTAGGCGGCCACTCACAAGCTTTTTTTTATTTTTATTTATTTGTGTGTGTGTGTGTGTGTGTGTGTGTGTGTGTGTGTGTATACTGACTGGTACAGGAGGAGATTGTCCCTCCTTCTCCAGCAGAGCATCTGGTGGATTCACACTCACAAGCTTTTAAAACCTCCTTTGTTGAAGTAGATTTTACTACTATCATCTTTATAAAGGAGAATCAAGCCCACGAAGGTTAATTGGCTCACTCAGGGTCTCACCTACAGTTTTGTTCTCTGTGGTCGAGTGCACTGCAACTCATAATGACCCTGTTCTCAATAGCTCTGAACCTGCCCTGTCCTGAGCCAAACTCAGTGTCTCCAACACACCTACCTCCATTACTCCAGTCACCCTGTCAGTCCATCCCATCCAGGGTCTGTCTCCCCTGCGTTGTCCCTCTACCCTTCCAAGCACGATGTCCTTCTCCCACGACTGGTTCCTCCTGGTAACATGCCCAAAGTATATGAGACAGAGCCTTAAGTTCTTGCTTCCAAGGAGCAACTTGGTTTCACCCACTCCGGGACAGACCTGTTTGTTCTTTTGGCAGGCCGTAGTATGTTCAGTACTCTTCTGTTGTGTACTGATAAGTCAAGTCCACCCCCCAAGGACCCTGTAGGACAGAGTAAAGCTACCTCAGAGGGTTTCCAAAGCTGTAACTCTACAGGTCTTTTCTCTTGCAGTGGGTGGGTATGACCACAAGGCTTTGAGTCAGGCACCATGTACTTAATTCCCTGCCCCCCTCCCCAGTATCCTCTTCTCTTTGAAAAGTAAAAGAAAAATTCTTTCATTGTTTTATAATCCCTCCCCCCGGGTCCACTCCACTATGCAGCCTTTGTTCTGGACTCCTGTCATGACAATAATACCTAATCACATATCCCTTTTAAACAGTTCTCTCCCTCATCCGTTTCAATGCAATATACATTACTTATCCCATCTTTCTCAGACTCCCCCAATCCCGATGTCAGTCCGGTTTTACAACAGTGCCTCCTGACTCTCGTATTAAGCCCCCCCCTGCCCATTGCTGTTGAGTTGCTTCTGATCGATAGTGGCCATTACTGTGTTTCCAAGGCTGTAAATCTTTACAAGAGGTTGCCCATTTTTCTTCTGTAAAGCAGCCAGTAGCTTCAATCTGCTATTTTTTTTTCCTTAGCAGAAAAACATGTAACACACTGCCTTAATCTTCAGAATATATGCAAGAAAATAGGTCCACACAATAGCATGTATACAAATGCTCATAGCAGCATTACTCATAATAGCCCAGGAGTGGACAACTACGTGTTTATCAGCTGATAAGTGGATAAATAAAATGTGGTATATTCATACAATTGGATGGTGGTCAGCTCTAAAAAGCAATGAAGTACTGATTCCAGCTACAACATAAATGAATCTTAAAGACCTTACACTAAGTAGAGTCAGTCAGTCACAAAAGCCCATATATTGCAGGGTTCTACATACATAAAATTCCAGAATGGGCAAACCCATGAAGACAAAAAGTATGGCTGGAGGAAGGGAGGTATGGGGAAGAATTGCTCACGGGCTTCTTTTTGGGGTGATGAAAATGTTCTGGAATTAGAGGGTGCCGATGGCTCCACAGCCTTGAGAATATACTAAAAAGTGCTGGACTCCACACATTACAAGGATAAATTTTAAGCAAAATCCTGAAGATTATCCGAAAATGACTGGGACAGTACATTGACAGAACTACCAGAAATACAGGCTGGGTTTAGAAGAGGTTGTGACACTAGAGACATTATTGCCAATGTCAGATGGATCTTGGCAGAAAGTAAAGAGTACCAGAGGAATGTCTTTATCTGTATTTCATTGACTCTGTAAAGGCATATGACTATGTGGATCACAATAAATTGTGGCTAAACTTGAGGAGAATGGGAATCCCAGAACACTTGATTGTGCTTGTATGAAACTTACACTTGGACCAGGAAGCAGTCCTCAGAACAAAGCAAGGAAACACTGCATAGTTCATAGTCAGGAAAGGAGTGCATCAGGGATGCATCCTGTTTCCATACCTTTTCAATGTAAATGCAGAACAGATCATTCAGGAAGCTGGGCTTTATGAGGAGAAATGTGGCATCAGGATTAGAAGAAGACTCATCAACAACCTACATTGTGCAGGTGACACAACCTTGATTGTTGAAACTGAGGAGGACCTGAAGCGCTTAGTGCACAAGGTCAAGAACTATAGTCTTCAGTATGGATTGAAGCTCAACATCAAGAAGACAAAGATTCTCACCACTGGGCAAATTGGCAGCACTATGATGGAGAAGAGATTGAAGTTGTTAACAATTACAGTTTGTTCAGCTCCACAATCAACAGTCTTAGCACTAGCAGTCAGGAACTCAAAAGGTGAATTGCACTAGGAAAATCTGCTGTCAGGGACCTCTCCAGAGGATTGAGAAGCAACGATGTCAGTCTAGAGACCAAGGTGCACCTGATCCAGGCCATGATCTTTGCAGTTACTTGCTATACATCAGAGAGCTGGACAATGACTAATGATGACAGAAGAATCCATGCCTTTGAGTTGTGGTGCTGGAGAGGAGTCTTGAACATACCATGGACTACCAAGAAAATACCTCTGTCTTGGAGAGGGTGAAATCAACTTTCTCCTTGGAGGTTATGATTTTGAAGCTATGTTTTACATACTTTAGGCATGTGGCCAAGAAGGACCAGTCTTTGGAGAAGGATATCATACTTGGAAGGGTGGAAGGACAGTACAGGAGGGGAAGATGAGATGAATTGGCACAGTAAGTGGAACAATGAGGGTAGGTGTGTCGGAGTCAGTGAGGCTGGCTCAGGACAGGGCAGGCTTCAGAACTGTTGTACATAGGGCCACTATGAGTTGCAGGCAACTCAACATCACATAACAACAACATGTGAATTTTATCTCAAAAAGAAAATGAATGGCTCTTTGTAGCCATCATAAATGCAGAGATCAGTAAGGGGCGCTGTTGAGTCCTGTTACTACCACTATTAAAGTTTTGTAATAGTAACCTCTGTTTTGTTTATATCTCACATTGGATTGCATCTTAATGTAAGAAAACAAATTCTTACCACTGGACTGATAGGCAACATAGATGGAGAGAAGACTGAAATTGTCAGTGACTTCATCTTACTTGAATCCACAAATGGCACCCTTGCTACCAGCAGGCAGGAGATAAGGAGATGTAGTGCACTGGGAAAGTGTGCAGTCAGGGATCTCTCCAAATCATTAAGGAGTTGGTTTATTATTACGTCTGTTTTAGGACTAAGGTGCTCTTGATTCAGGCCATGGTCTTTTCAGTTACTTGCTATGCATCTGAGAGCTAGACAATGAATGACAGAAGAGTTGATACCTTTGAAGTGTGGTGTTGGGTAAGAGTACTGAATATCCCATGGACTGTCCAAAGAACAAATAGCTAGCTCTATCTTGGAAAAAGTACAGGCAGAATGCTGCTTGGGAGTGAAGATGATGAAGCATCGTCTCGTGCATTTTGGGCATGTCCTTGGAGAGGGACAGACGTCATGCTTGGAAAGGGGGAAAGTCAGCAAAAGAGAGGAAGACCCTCAACCAGATGGATTGACGCATTGTCTGCAGTAATGGGTTCAATGTGTCAGAGATTGTGAGGATGGCACAGGATAGGACAGGTCAGATCTGTTATTCATGGGGACACTATGAGTAGTCTTACTTGACGCAGTGGAACCTAACACCAGCGACTCTTTATCCTGGAAAGGATTGAAGAAGGTTCCTGTTAGACTCAGGAGCTCAGGCACTTGGCTATTAACCAAAAGGTTAGCACTTTGAACTAACTAGTCTCTACGAAAAGAAAAAAGACTAGGTAATATACGCCCATAAAGAACTACATGGTTCAAAATCAAGAAGGGGGTCCATCAGGGATGTATTTTGTCTCCATACCTTCTCAGTCTGTATGCAGAACAGATCATCCAAGATGCTGGGCTGTATGAGGAGGAATGGTGCATCAGGATTGGTGGAAGAATCATCAATAACCTGCATTATGCAGATGACACAACCCTGCTTGCTGAAACTGAGGAGGACCTGAAGCGCTTGCTGCAGAAGGTCAAGGACTGCAACCTTCAATATGGATTGAAACTCAATATCAAGAAAAAGATTCTCACCACTGGGCCAATTGGCAGCATCAGTATGGATGGTGAAGGGCTCAAGATAGTTAACAGTTTTAGTTTGCTTGGCTCCACAATCAACACTCTTGGTAATAGCAGCCAGGAAGTCAGGAGACTAATTGCATTGGGAAAGTCAGCTGTGAGGGACCTCTCAAGAGTATTGAAGAACAACGACATCAGGCTGGAGCCTAAGGTGCGCCTGATCCAGGCTATAGTCTTTGCAATTACGTGCTATGCATCAGAGAGTTGTACAATGAATAAGGGTGATAGAGAATTGATGTCTTTTTTTTTGAGAATTGATGTCTTTGAGTTGTGGTGCTGGAGAAGAGTGTTGAATATACCATGGACTGCTAGGAGAACAAACATGTTTGTCCTGGAGAGGGTGAAGCCAGAATGTTCCCTGGAGTCAAGGATTCTGAAGCTTTGTCTGACATACTTTGGGCATTTTGCCAGGAGGGACTGGTCCTTGGAGAGGGACATCGTGTTTTGGAGAGTGGAGGGATGGCGCAGGAGAGGAAGACCATCGATGAGATGGATCAATTCTATGAGTGGAGTGGTGGGAATGATTGTGTTTGAGACAGCGAGGTTGGCACAAGATAGAATGGTGTTTAGGGCTCTTGTACATAGGGTCGCTATGATTCACAAGCGACTCGGTGGCACATAACAACAACAACAACAACAAAGATTACTCACTACCATGGAGTTGATCCTAATGCACGGTGACCCTGTAGGACAGGGTGGAATTGTCCCAGAGGCTGAAAACCACCAGCCTTTGGTTAGCAGGTGAATGCCTTAACCACAGCACCACCAGCACTCTTTCCCACAAAGATTACTGCCCAGGACCCCCTGTGGGGCAGTTCCACTCTGTCCTGTGGGCCACTGTGAGTCAGAATTAACTGAATAACCATAGCAAGTCTGAGTGAGTACAGATGTAGATGTTCTGAGTTCAAGGATGAGTGTGTTGGGGCCATGTCCAATTTTTCTGTATCTTAGATTTATTTCCATAAAGCTTCATCACAGAGCACATTTTAATTGAATGGCACAGCCTGTTTCATGTCTCTTTTGTTTTTTATTTTTCATTTAGGTAATTAACTGGCTAGCACATGCGTGATGGCTGTAGAGAAATCGTCACTCTTACTAGATTCCAGTGAGAGTGATTCTGAGGAGCTGCCGACGTTCACTTTTCTGAAGAAGGAACCATCTTTAACCAAGAGAAGCCTGCCTCCACAGGAGGAGAAGGTTGTAGTGATTAACACCTCAGATTCTGAGACCTCCTTCCTTCTGTCACCAGAGTCAGAAGATGTACCACCTGCCCAAGGCCCATTGGAAACTGTCACCCAAACAGAGCCAGCTGGGGCCCTGGGCAGTGGAAGCGAAGATGAGGAGGAGTTTATTCCCCTGGCGGAGAGGCTTAAGTGTAAGTTCTTGACCTACAATCAGTTGAGCCCTGAGGAGTCTCATTCTCCAATTAAAAGTGCCTTGGATCGGCAGAGTAACAAAGGAGCATTATGTGACTGGAAAAAACCACTCTTCCCAAAGATCCTGCGTCCCCCGCTTTGTGACATCTCAGAGCGGAATGCTGCAGAATGCAGGGACCCCCACTTAGACCGTCCATGCCATCAGCTGCCGCCCGACCAGTCTCTCTGCCCTGTCCAGGGCAACAGCCCTACAGTTACAGAAACCCCTTCTGAGGGGCCTGTGCCTCTGAAGAGAACCAAGCGCAGTCAGAAGGCCCAGGGGAGAGAGCGGAAGGGAGCAGCGAAGCAAAAGGAGAATGCGGTGGGGCATCAGGAGAGGAAGAAGAAGGCCGCCCAGGCGAGCAACCTGAAGGCTCAGAGGCCAGAGGAGTGCTTGAAGCACATCGCTGCCGTGCTGGACCCAGGTCCTCCTGTCTCTCCACACCCGGTACTGAGTTTTCTGCTTCCGGAGCCACCCACTGACAGCTCCTCTTCCATCTGTTGCAGAGCTTTTACAGACGGAAGGTGGGGGCCAGCTCCTGGGGGCGCTGCAGTCCATGGAGTGCCGCTGCTTGATTGAGGCGCAAGCTGTGCCTCGCAGCATCACCTGGAGGAGGGCTGCACTGTCTGAGGTAGGGGTTTCCTGGCTGACACCTCTCCTCCCTAGCGAGCCATGGAAAACAAGCTCTGTGAATCCATGTATCAGTCAGATCCCAGCAGAAAAACAGATGGCGCACTCAACCTAGCATAACTGGAAGAGGGTTTAGTAAGGAGGCTGTTTTCCGAGGTATGAGTGGGGTACAAGGAACTGACAAGGGGCAGGGCAGTGCCTCGTACTGATAGCCTCTAATCCTGCGGGCATGTTAGACCATGCTGTCCTGTGCACTGCAGGAAGTCTAGCCACATTCCTGGCCTAAAGACCAGCAGCATCCTTCCCAGTCGTGACGATCAAAATGTGTCCTATATTACCAGATGTTCCCTGGTTGGTAGTCATAGCATAAATGGTGCCTTTCCCAAGCTTGAGGGATGAGAGGAAGGTGTCGTTACCCCTAAAGATTGGACCTTCAGTAGAGAGAGCCGATCAGGAAAGAGGGAGGGAAAGAAATACCCACTAGTGTGGTCCCAAGGCTCAGGCAGAGTGAGAGGAGATGGAGAATAGATCTGTGGCCAGGGGAAGGTGGTCTGTACAGGATGCTGGCTTCTGACTGGGCTTTGGGATTGAGTGAGCTTGCATTTCAGCCCCAGCTTCATGGCTTTATTGCTGGGACCCTCAGCCTCATTTGCCTCATATATTAAGTGAGGATACTTATTGCTGCTCTTGCAGCACCCCCTGCTGTGGGGACTGAATATCATAATTCAGCCCTGGGCATAGAGTAGGTGCATAATAGTGTCCCCCAAGTTACCACAACTCCTGTGCCTTTTTCTCCTCTCGTTTGTGAATCTAGACTATCTTTTTCAACACATTAAGCACTTCTTCTTGGATTTCATGCCTTGCTCATTAGACTTTAGAATTTGAGGGTGTTAGCAAACCTTTGTGTTTTCACCTGGCAATTTCTCTTTTCAAGGCACTTGTACAGTTTCTCTTGGGTCTCAGCCACAGTGGTCCTGTCAGGGGATGTAATGGGAATTCTTAACTCCACAGAATGGGGTAACTGGCACTCAGGTAAAAGTTCAAAGGCTGACTCAGGACCACAGCTTGCTGATGGCCGAATACAGAGCTCCTCTCAACCCAAACTGGACTATATCGTGGATCTTAGCTTTTGCTTCTGTCTCCCAATCACACAGCTTCCCGAAAGCTCTGCTTCCCCAATTACTTCATAATGCTCCACTGCTTTAGGATTGATTAAGCCATATCTTAATCAATAATTTTATCGATTTAGCCCTATCTTAATTTTATAACATTTATACAGGCCACTTATAATTAGCATCTACATTTTATGCCAGTCACTTATTTGTACAGAATCCTTTGAAAGAGTTACTTTCACTCCATTCCCTATTCTAAAGGTGTAAGAGATTTGGTAGTGTCTTCTTAGAGGCCATTTCAAGGTGTGAATGTCCCCTTCCTGTTCCCCACTCACAGATGCAGTACTTCAAGGCTGAACACCCCAGGGCTGGGCAGGAACAGGGCAAAAGGTGGTTTCTTGCCTCCCTGATGCCGTCTTAGAACAGGGATAACATGCACTGGGTGAGGTTGACGGGGATGAGTGAGCTCATTCCGCCAGAAGGCCTGTGTCACTCTGGCAGAGCCTCAGCACCTTCTGACCTACCCCCTTTGCTATCTTCCTGGTCATTTTGCAGAATGAAGAGGAGACCTGGGCAGAAAAGTCAGTGGTCTTGGTGGTGCTGCAAGGAGAGATGGTCGTATCTATGATCAACAGTTTAAAGCAGGTGAGCAGGCCCAGAGCAGTAGGAGCTAAAGCGTGGAGCAGAGGGCTGGCTGACTCGTCAAAGGAAGCAGATCCTAATGCAGACCATGGCCCTCTGTGCAGGGAAGTCTGGACGGCACCAAGAAAGGGAAGGAAGCACTTCAGAGCTTTGTCAAAAACACCACTGCAAAGTCAGCTGGAAAAGCTCTGACTCTGGTGATTGTGGATCAAGGGAAATGCTTCAGGTTTGAGTTTATCCTTGAGACTTGGTGTAAAATGGGGCAGCTCATGGACCAACAGGAGTGAATGCTTTCACCCCAGGGCTGGGTCCCTGTAAGATAGCATCCCTCACAAGGCCTGGGTAAGGGAGCTGTCTGCTGTGATCTTCCCCCCCACCCCCCAACCCCGCTGCAGTGCCCCAAATCCTCCAAGGAGAAGGAGACAGGGAGTGGCAGATAGAGAACAGGCCAAAGAGAAGCAGCAGCAGAGACAAGCAGACGCCAGCACAGGGGCCCTGCCTCTGGTAACCAGGGTGGAATTGGAAGAGGTAGGAATTTCCCTTTTCTTGAGTCTGGCAGGCACCAAAATGATCATTTGATTTACCGCTGATGAGCACGAAATGCCCATTGAACACTATTTCTGCCTCAGCAGTGAGTGAGAGGAGGGGCGTGGCCTCAGTGACCAATGAGCCATCTTGAACCCTCCTTCTCCACCTTTCAGTCCATCCCTGCTTTTGGATTTCTAGGCCTTAGTGGATCTGCAGCTCTACACAGAAGCCCAGGTTCAAGTTCTGCAGAACTGGAGAGAGCTGGCTGACTTCACCTGCACATTCACAAAGGCTGTGGCTGAGGCACCCTTCAAGTGAGTGCTGGGCCCTGCCCTTGACATGGTTCTTGAAACTGAAGAGAACATGCCTTCTTTTAAATGCTGCTCCACACATCATTTCTCCAGCTTGAGGCTGAAGGAGCTCATGGTTGGGATTCTTGGGAAGAGCCCTGAAGCCCGATGCCTAGCTACAAGATTTCTTTTGCAAATTGGTGCTGGGTTACTGTAACCAAGATTGGTTACAGATCCAATCACAATATAATTAGCCACAGTAAGGCCTACTTATTTAAAAGTTTATTAAATGGAAATTAATATTAACTAGGACTCTCAGATAATCCAGTCCAAATCCCTCCAGACGGACCTGAAGTCTGAGGAGACTGACTTGTGTAAGCTTCCAGAAGCTGGAGCGCACACTAGCCACCCGGTAGCCTGTGCCTGGTCCTTAGTCCCGTACTGCCCTGTCCCCTTCCTCAGGACAACCTAACGCCAACACAAGAGAATCTGGGCTCCTCGGACCTTTTCTAATGAAATGGGCTAGATGTTTTTAAGGGAATTGGCAGCTGATTGGAACTGAGAACTCAAATTGTTAGAGCCAATAATAGGCCCAGCATAACATATGTCCACCTCTTTCACAGTCAGTGGAGGGTTTTTCTCTTCCTAGCTGAGGGGTCAGCTGGAGGAGCGCAGCAACTGACTCTCGACCCCTCACTGTGCTGTTTGCAGGAAGCTCCGAGACCAGACTGGTTTCTCCTTCTGCCTGGAGAGCGACTGGGCTGGGGGTGTGAAGGTGGACAGCTCAGGCAGGGGCCTTGCCCTGGTGTGGAGGAGACAGATTCAGCAGCTGAACCGAGTCAGCATGGAAATGGCCAGTGCGATTGTGAATGCCTACCCCTCGCCCCAGCTCCTGGCTCAGGTATGCCACTTCAGAGGTCACAGCAGTGCCCTGTGGTATTCCTGGGCCCTGTTTTCACAGCACCATTGCTCACAGCCTAAGAATGCCCTGTTGGCAGCGGCAGGTCTGATGAGATCAGAATTGTTAGTGGTGACCAGGGGTTGGGGGTGGGACGTTCTCAGCCCCCAGCCCACTGCCTTCTCTGCTGAAGGATGATCAATCTTGAATGTGACCCATAGCTGACCCTCCAGTGGGGTTTCAGAGGGGGGAAATCACACGGGAAATTGCCCATCTTTATCCTGGAGAGCAGATGGTAGATTCAAACTACATGCTTTTGGGTTGGCAGTGCAGTTCCTTACCACTAAACCATCAGAGCTCCCTGGCCTTGGATGAGGTGGTACTAAGCGTTCATTTACTATTTTCAGGCTTATCAGCAGTGTTTACTGGAGCAGGAACGCCAAAATTTGCTCGCAGATATACAAGTTCGCCGAGGGGTAGGCGTGACATCTACCTCCCGCCGCATTGGACCAGAGCTGTCCAGGCGTGTTTATCTCCAGATGACAACTCTGCAGCCAAATCTCTCTTTAGACAGTTCAGACTGATGCTCACCCTCAGGGACAAGGACGGAAAGCCGGGGGTTCTGCATGAGCCCCTGTAACATGACTGCACTGCAGACTGGAACGACGCCCAGAAGGGCAGGCCTCGGTCAGGCCCATGGGTGTAATTGCTCATCAAAGTCTGTCACCTCAGGACCAGCTAGATGTTTGCATTGACCTCCACCAGCGTTTAACGTTTCTCTCCGAGCAAAAGCCAGCTGCCACCAGGAAGCACCCCTGCCTGTGCCCCAGCTGCCCGTTAAAACAAAAGCAAACAGAGACAGACTGCTCAGACATATATTTAATAATTGTAGAAATCCAAAAGAACCTCAGCATCAAATCTAGAAGTTGTGAACTGATGTCTGTGGGTTGGCTTGACGAGGCTGGTGTCACCCAGCCCGCCTCCCACCCACTGAGCTGCCTCAACCAGCGCAAGAGCGGGGGTATGATTGCTATGCTGACTTGTATTATAATCATATGTGTTTGTTTTTAGTTTCAATAAAGCATTTGTACCAATGGCTCTGGAGCTTGGAGGAAGACTAAAGGAACGTGTAGTGATTCTGGTAAGGCGTGGACCTATGCAGCAGAGCAGTCCTTGGGGGAGAAAGAACAAGGTACCAGGACAGCCAGATGGGCCAGCAAGCTGGATCCTGCCCTCTCTGTCTCTGGACTGTGACAAGTCTCACTCTCTGGGAGAGGCAAGCAGTTTGCAGTCAGGAGCTTTCAGTGAATGAGCACCATCACATGGCTATTTCTGATCCTTTCATCCAGCTGTTGTGAAAGAGATGAGGCAAAGGAAATCATAAAGCAAGAAAATGCTTAATCAAGCAGACAAGAGACTGGTCTTGACATAACGTGCTAGCCACGCCCCAGTTTTTAAGCTCCATGATGCCACTTGATTCTCTTCAAAAGTAGGTGTAGTTACAGGTCTAGAATCTAAAGTTCTAAATCTCAGTCCCTTTGAAGCAGTTTTCAGGCTGCTTTTGAGGTATTTAGCCACACCAACTACTAGCAGAGATATCAGATGATGTGGCTTTGCAAGGACCCGCCTCCTTGCTTACTGGCAATCAGGGAGTTAATGCTCTGACGTGGAGGCAAAGAGCCTGGACTATCCCTGTCCTAGAGAAGCCACGTAAGTTGAGGCAAGACTCCACAGGAGTCGCCCAAGACCCTTGTGGCCGTGAGATTTCCATCTGTGAGTCACAGATCTTCATGTACCATCAAAGAGTCTAGACTCTTTAGCTGAGACAATTCTGATGTGTTCTGTTCTCTTGGGATGTCGTCAAGGAGGTAAAAATGATGGAAAGAAAGGGTACTGGAGTGGGGAAACCAGTCCTGCTTCAAACTAGCTGTGAGACTGTAGGCAAGTCAGTTTCCTTGCCTAAAAAATGTCACTGGACTGGAAGTCCCTTTCACAGCCTCGGATTTGGTGAGGTCACAGAATGTCTAAGGAATGTCTGAGATCCTTAAGAAAATAGTATTCACCCCTCCCCTCCAACTTAGCCTGGAATTGCTCTGAGCGTGGTGTTCCCTCTGGTCCCCATGAACTCACTGCTGCCTCCTGACCTGCCGGGGCTATCCAGGGAAGGGTGGAACAAAGGGCTTGTGGCATACAAAAGTATAAATGTAGTGACAGCTGACCATTTATAGAAACCAGACTTGCCTTTACACAGCTTTGTGGCACTCGGAAAGGCTAGGCTTTTAGGCTTTTCCTCTCCCCCTCCCTAGGCCTGTTCCTTCAGTCATGCAGGTAACTCCCCCCACCTCCCTTTTTTCCTTATTCCAACAGGAAACCCTGCCTAAGGAACAAAGGAGTCCAACAAAGAGGAGTCTCAAGTACCAGTCAGCAGCCATTTGATGACGGCAGGTAGGTCTGACGCTAAAAACAGGTTGTGTCCAGCAGAACCCAATTCCATAGGAATCCAAGCTCCAAGGCTGGGGAGGCAGCAGGTATCTGGGATGAGCTCACTGCTGGGAGTCGGTCTGGAGGACCCACTGGAGGATCTCATGGCTGCGCAGACCCCGGAGAGCGTTGTCGTAGACAGTGTTCACACTGACGCAGACAGGCTGCTGCTGCAGCTCTGTGACCCGACAGGCCACCAGCCCACCTGCCACACACAGCAGCAGCAGCAACAACAGCAGCTTCAGCACAGCCCAGGACCTCGTGTGTTTCCGAGGTGGAGGCTTGCGGGGCCGGGAACCAGACTTTGATTCTGGAGGGGTGAAGTCAGACACAGAAAGGTTAGTGTCAGAGACCTATTCCACCCATCATGCAGTTTCTAACTTGCACATCCACTGATAACCCTCTTTCTCAAACAAAACTCGCAGGCCCTGAAAGGGAAATGTTTGAAGAATATCTGAATTCTTGAAAAAAGCCATCCAGAGGCTGAAATAGAGGCTTTCTCCCTTAGAGTGCAAAGGAACACATTCTGAAGTGGCCTGGGAATCTCACGAAGTCCCTAAGGCCCAAAGTCACACAGTGACTCAACAAGCCTCCCTGGTCCCAGGGAGAGGCCAAACTAGGGACATCACGCTACCAACTGAGAAAATGGGTTTGAGATTTATTAAAATTGTGAATGTCATATTCTATAATAACACCAAAGATGATTGTTGCTAGGAATGGGAGACTGTCATGTTCTGAAATAAGGAAAAATGTGTCTGCAGTGAACAGAATTCTGTAGTTATCCCTCAGTGTTCAGCTGCTTGAGTCCCCTCATAGAAGATGGCTTAGTATCTGCATATGACTACAGATTCTCCTGTCTATTTTAAATCATTTCTACATTACTCAGAGCATGTAATTCAGTGAAAATGTTACATGAGTAGCACTTTTTGGTCCCTCTCCGAGGGACTGCTTTGACTATGCGGTGCTCCTCCTACTTAATTTTGATCCTCGGTTGGTTGAATCCACAGATGTAGAAGGCCAACCACACGTTTAAAATTAGAAAAGTACATGGCCCTGTAAGAAAATCACGGAGGAGTTTCTTATGTGAGCCTGACCACTCCCCTGAGGTGGGGTCCTACCAAGCTCACTTTCCATAAGGAAGTGCAAAGAGGTGAAGAGAAAGCAGACACAGCTCCTTCCCTCTCCAGGGTTTCTTTCGAGGGACCCCTTCACCCAGAGGGCATGTACTAACTTCCCTCATACAGGGGCCCACCTCACCGTGTGCATTTGACTTACCCAAACCCAACTGGACATACCCTAAGCTAGGTACACAAACCACAATACATATTCCATATAAAATGGTTCTTTAATGCAGCAGCAGCATTCCTCTGGTGTTTGAGCCAAGAGATCTGTTTCAACTCAAAAAACCCCGAGGCAGCTAACCTGACTGAGGGACCGCTGACACTCAAAACCCGGGCCCATGGATGATTCTCCATGGATGATGTGAGGGATGTTACAGGTAGCCTGACAATCTGCAATCTTTGCCTTTCTCAGTGCATTTAGAACCCAACTCTTAGAAGCAGTGTATGACACCCCGTTCTGGTAATGCTCTGAGCTATATCTGAGAAGTACGTGGCACTGGGGAACAAACCAGCCGGCACATGCCCCCTGGGAGTCCCCATCTCCCAGCGCTCTAAGAGCCTATTTTGCCTGAGGTCTGCAAGCTCCTTCAACTCTGCCTGAAAACACAAGTCTGTTGACTGCACCTCTGGAACCGCTGTCAGAAAACTTACTCTGGGCCTGGTTTGTCTCCTTCTTCGGCTTCTTCTCCTGTTCCCGCTTGGAGGCTTTGAGGGCATCATACTCCTTCCTCCGGCGCTCCTTCTCTTCTGCCTTCTCCCGCTTCCGCACTTCCCGTTCCTGAGCCTCCTTGGCTCTCTGCTTAGCCTCACGCTTCTTCTCCGCCTCTGCACCAAATACACCCAACAATGACTTCTCTTCCAAAGACCCTCCAGTTTGCTTTCCCAAAAGACTAAAGGATGGATTCAGCCTCTTTCCCCTTCTGCCATGTTGTTGTTTGCCTTCGAGTGGAGCACGACTCATAGCAACCCTATGAACAAAAGGCCTGAAGCCCCTCTACAACTATCGACATTTATCAACGTTCAGAGTTTCCGGAGGCATGTTGTTTAGGAAGCAGATGCCACTCTTGCTTCCAAACCTGTCATAGTATGTTGATGTTTTTATGTACCATTGAGTCGCCTGTGATATATAGCGACCCTAAGGACAGCAGCTCTGAACCCTTCCCTGTCCTGAGCCAGTTTCACTAATTCCAACACACCAACCCCCACTGCTCTATCTCATCCAAGGTCTCCCTCTCCTGCTCTGTCCGTCCACCCTTCTGAGCATGATGTCCTTCTCCAAGGACCAATCTTCCTGGCCATGTTCCCAAAGTCACATAAATATTCAAAAGAAGTTATCTTTCTGCTTTCCTGAATATACCCCAAATCGACTGCTCTTGAGCCAAATACCCTGTTGGATACAGAAGAACTACCTCATTGGGTCCCCAACGCTGTGACCTTTACAGAAGCAGACTGCCACACTCCAGTAGGGCAGCTTTAGATACCTTCTGGTATCTAAAGCCTCTAAGTGCTTTAATCACTGAGCTACAATGTCTCCTTTCTAGAAAGTAAGTCTTGTCTGAAATCCAATACACTCCGTTTGCTGGCTAGATTCCTACTGGTTCTGAGTCACTCACAGTGGAGATTGCAGAGTAATAGAGCAGGGGCTGGGTCACAGTGAAGATCATAGAGTAATACAGCAGGGGCTGGGGACTGGACTAAGGCATGGGCAATGAGCCTGCTGCCCTAGGATGTGAGAATCAAAGACACAGCAGCTGACAGCCTATGGCCCAAATATGAAGAGAACTAACAATGGCAGTACTGTGTCTATGGGATTCCTCACTTCCCAAGCTTAAAAAAGGAAGGTGGCATGAGGAGGGCAAGTTTGTTGTTGTTGCTGTGTGTTGCTGAGTTGGAAACAACTCATAGCTAACCCGTTAGCAGGTTTTCTGAGGATGTAAATCACACAGGAGATTGCCCCTCTTTTCCCCACAGAGCACCAGGAGAATGAGAAAATAGCACAAAAGTTTAGGGGCAGAGAGAATGGAAACATTTCACAGAAAAAAATGAGACTAAGTTTGTCAAAGTAATGTCTAGATTCCAACTCGGAAATCTGTAGCACATTCAGATTTACTTAACAGCTAAAGTCTGTGTTTACATGCAGTACCTGACTTACAAATGATTGGGTTCCAAAAGTGCATTTCCCAGTTAGTTATTTGGGAGTCTGAAACATTCCTCCAAAGCCAGAATGCCACATATGGTGGTTCCATGTCCCTTTGGAGCGTAAAAGCCCCTTTGAGCCATCAGGTAGCTGAACAGTAGTACTCAGTGCTGTAGCTTTCCACGGCTTCTCAGTGAAAACAAGCACCAGGTCCCAGCTGCGCACTGAGAGTGCCAAGAACACACTCGGCCCAGCATCTAATCTGGAGACACGTGCGCTCAAGAAGGGCCCGCAGCAGTGTGGAGGACAAACACGGGTCCTCGTCACAGCAGCCACGCCATGATGGTGTTTACAGACTTCAGGGACTGCCATGGTCAGTTCTATGCAGGGAGGGAGCTGCCAGCCAGTCAAAGGAGCACTGACTGTGGGCCAGGCATGGCTCTGCATGAGACAAAACAGCAAATTACAGGCAAGCTGCTCCTAACTCATAATGACAAGTGTCAGAATGGAGTCGATGGGTGGCTTTGAAAGAGTTAAGGTTAACCTGCGGTAATAACTGAGAAGAGATGGGGGATTATAAGCAGTCAGCCATGTAAAGATCAGGGAAAGGAAACCTTAGAACCAGAGTCCCTACAGCATGAGAGTGCTTGGTGTATTTAAAACACAGCAGAGAGACCCTAGTGGCTCAAAGTAACAAACAGCACTCTTTCCCATGGTCATGGACAAGGCCAGGGAAGCAGGCTTACATAATATGAGATCTTGTCTACCCTGCTACTGAGGTTAAGTTTCATCCCATGTTCAATGGGAAGCCATTAGTGTCTTAAGCTCATAGCTTAATTTCTTATTAGAACTCCAAACTTTGTGGAGAATGGATGTGAAGAGATGGCAAGCATGTTGGAGAAATAGCTAGCCACCAGAAGGAAGTCTTGGTTACAGTGTCAATCAAGGTAGAAAGGAAGATGAGTTAGAGAGCTTGGTGCCAAACTGGACATGGATGGGAATGACTGAAGGGACCCAACACCTTGCAAGTTTTAAGCTTGAACAGCTGTGAGGACAATGATTTCCTATTAAGAAAGAACACTAAGAGAGGTGGCACAATTTCCTAACCGGTCTTAGGGACCTGTTTTAGCCACATTAAGTTTGAGATGCCTGTGAATTCTCCAGAGGATCTGGTGGTACAGTAGTTAAGTGCCAAAAGGTTGGCAGTTCACACCCAACAGCCTCCTCATAGGAGGAAGATGTAGCAGTATACTTCCATAAAAAATTTAGGGTTACTATGAGTTTGTGTCTGTTCATCAGCAGTGGGAGGCTGGGTTTACGCATTCTCCGAAGATGAAAGATAAGCAGTTGTTAGGACGTGAAGCCAGTGGAAAGGTCAGGATGGAGCTGGTCCTCAGCTAAGGATGGTCCACCTACCGCTGCTTGGCTTCCCATTGTCCTTCAAGGCTCTAGCAGAGATGCTGACTCCTGAAGCAATAGCCAGTTGGGTGCGTGAAAAGTCTAGAAGGTGACTAGGAGAGGGCTGGCCACTCACCTCGTTCAACTTCCAGCCGCCGCTGCCTCTCTCGCTCCTGGTCAGCCTGCACAGCCCTCATGTGCTGCAGCACCTGTGAAGGAGAAGAGGTGCTGAAGGGCCGAGTCCAGAGAGTCCCTGACTCACAGCACAGCTGCGACAGTTCCAGTGCCTCCAACTGTAAGTTGGTTCTGACCTAAACCAAGTAAATCTCTTTTTTGATTGCCTTTTATTATCTTTTATAAGTTCTCTCTTTATTGTCTTTTGGGGTTGGGGTGGGAATGATAACAGCAAATTAACAGCTGCAACCTTATATGGGACACATACCACTAACAATAAAATATAAATAAAAAACAAGTGGTTGTAAATGGAAATACAGAATCTGAGTGCTAACCCTCTTGGTGTCCTAACTCCATGGTCCAGCCTTATTGGAGAATTACACAAACCTGACTTGACTCCCCAGGTGTCAGAAAAAGTCTGGGAAACGACGTCAACTATGAAATGGTCTGCATTCACGGTCGCTCTCACACACTCGTTTGCCCGTCACCAGTCCTCTCAGCAGCTCCTCCTGAGGGAGAAGCTGTGCTTCCTCGGAGCTGCGTTCTGACTCCTCTCCCTTCAGCTACCTGACAGCTGCCCTCCCTCCCCAAGCTGTCCATCTCAGTCATAATACTGTCAGTTACTTAAGGGCAGGAACCAGTGGCCTGTATGTAGGATACCAAGTGGCTAACAAAGAACAGGAAGCTTAATTAATGACTAGCTAGATTGCTGTGACTGGTGGGGTGCCACTCCACATGACTAGAAAGCACTGTGTTAAGACCCAGACAGGGTTTCTGAGTCCTTCAATCAGAGCTGACTCTACTACACTAAGCTGCTTTTAACTGCACCTGAGCCTGTGTAGATGCTGAGGAAAGAGAAGAGAATGAGCCATTCAGTTCAAACCCTGCACAAATGGAATGGGCACCTTAAGCCCCTAAATCCTCCTTGATTCAGTCATGAATGATCTCTGATAAAAACAGCTGCCAAGATCATCACTATGTGCACAATTAGGGGTGGGAGGTAAAAGACCCTTTTATGTTTCCTTGGAGGTAGGGGACAGAATGGAAGTGAGAAACCCAACAGGCACCTGACTTGACCACAGGTGTGGGCAAACTGTCGTTCTGAGCTAATTTCCTCATCTGGAAAGATACTACTGAGGCACTGAAAAATGACCAAGAACTCCTGAAATACTGCACAACATGAATGACTCGAGAACAAATTGTGTTAATGCCCTTTTCAGTCACAAAAGGAAAATTACGGTGAGAGACCACCATCATAAAAAAAAAGGAAATGTTTATACACAGAATCAGTCTTAGGGGTTAACAGGGATGGGAAGAGAGGGAGAGGGAAACTAATAAATACAGAATATTAATAATCTACTAATAAATAGGTAAGTTGGCAGAAGGGAAAGGCATATACACTAAGGGGTTGATTCTCTCTTTGCCACTGACTTGGAACTGACTTGTAGCTGGCCCTCTGTGAGCTGTCAACTTTTCAGAGACTGTAAATCACATGGTAGATTGCCCAGCTTTCTGCCACGGAGCAGATGGTGGATTCCATCCACCTGCCTTAGGGCTGGCAATGCAACTCCTTACCCACTAGGCTACAAGAGTTCAGGGCTTGATTGATGTTGTGTGTTATCTAGTCAGAACTAACTTATAGCTGACCCTCCAGTGGGTTTTCCGAGGCAGTAAATTGCAGGGGAGGAGACTACCCATATTTCTCCCATGGAGCAGCTGGTGGATTCGAACCGCATGCCTTCAGGTTGGCAATGCTGCTCCTAACCACAATGCTACCAAAGCTGCCTCAGGTTGATCAGGCATTGTATTTATTAATCAGTGGTAATTAATGTTAGACAAAATGCCTAGGAATGATTGTGTGAAAAACCAATGATTTATAAACTTTCAAATTAAAAAAAAAAGCTATGTTGTAAAAATGAAATAACATACATAATTCTTGGCATTCATGTGTGTTTTCTCATAACTCCCTTTCTATGGCAGGAAGAAGGAGAAATGAGCCACGCCAACTTAGGACAGCGCATGCAGTTACATACTAGACGCTGTAGAAAGACATATGTTCAACTTTTATTTCTTGGAAACATCTGGCATGCTCACTCATTCTATGATGGCCTCTGGGGCACACCCACAAAAGGAGACCCCTCAAGAGGCTGGTCCGCAGCCACAGAACTGTCCTGGACCTGGTAGCACCTCCCTGAAGGCAGACCAGCTCACTACAAAAACAGCTGCTCAGCATGGAACAGCAGGATCGAGGGACAGAAAAACCTGATGGCAAGAGGCAGCTCAAGTCAAAGTCCCCTTCTCTGAACGTCTAAGATTAAACACCATTTAGCTGGTTTTACGGGCTGCTGAGCTAGTTTAAAACTGTGAAGGTTAAGAGACTCCCTTTTCACCTTGCTACAGGTGAACAGGAACTGATTATCCAACAACTCAAGCAGTTCACAAATGGGAGAAATTACCCAATCCAGTGAGTTCTGATGGCTTAGTGGTTAAAGATTTGCAATGCCAATACAAAAGTACATGGTTCAAACTGACCAGATGGTCCACAGGAGGAAGATGGGCACTCTCCCTTGTGACTGGGCCTCTGACAATGCACTGCGCAGTCACTTTGTGGTTAGTTCCAACTCAATGGTACACAACCACCACCACCCTGGTCTAGATTGTGCGCTCCTCAAAGGTAGGCTTTTATCTGCCTTGCTCACTTCACACACACACACAGGAGATGCGTGTTGAGTCCTGATTTCCATCCTCTGTGCTACGCTGTGCATCAGTGTGATCAGTCGCTGTGACTAATGCACTGGAGCACAAGGTCAGAGGTGGTGAGAGTGAAAAACACTGAGGGGCGAGTGAGCTCATCCTAACTGATGTAAGCCACACACTTACGAGACAGCTAAGGCTGCAGGGCACTGGCGGCAGGGACCCCGGCTCTGGGGATCACATCACAGCACAGTGCTGAAGGGAAGCAAAAGCTCTCGCGTTTCTTGTAGGTAAAAACTGGAGGGCTACCGACTTCCTGTGGTTCGGTGTTACTACTAAATGAATGAATGGTGGGTGCACCGAGTCAGGGAAAGGGGAGTAATAACTACTCAGGGTCTGGGGGTTATTAAATGATATTTAGAAAATGTGTAGAGCAAAGGAAGAGTATAACCAATGGTACCTACTTACTCTCCAAAATAGACATCACTTATGCGGCACCGAATTTTCAACACCAGATCTCATGGGTCATTTGTATTCTTCCCAGTTAAGGTGAAATTGCTGCCTTGGCCACTTGGCTGAAAAAGCCCTGACACAGGGCTGAGACTGTCACTAATCTTGAGGTTCACGGTAGGGACCCATCACACAAACAGAAGCGTACATGAATTCTAACACTTCAAGTCTTTTTGTTCAACATGCCTTCTAAACAGCCAATGAAGTCATCTGCTCTGCTGAAGCAGCAACGATCTGTCTCAAATCCAGGAGACTCGGTGCACTTGGAGCTGGTGAGATGTGGGCACAGTAATGTCCCTAACGAGCAGTGTTAAGGCGTCATCAAGGTAACTGGTGACGGGCAGTGTCTGTCCTCCATGCTGACCATGGTTCCTCACGCTCACGGCAGATGACTCGATGGCACCCGAGATAGCCAGGTCTGTCTGGGATATGTCTGTTCACAACTACACGTGTTTAAATATGATCAGTGTTTACTACCAAAATTCCTACAGTTACTGACTCAGAAGTGCCAAAGCCCCTAAACCTCTCGTCTTACTAAAATAACAGTCAACATCATGCAGCATTAGATTATACACAGTCCTGCAATACCGCCGAACACTGCTGTTCTAGGACTTGGAAAGTACGTGCACAAACGAGTTTCTGTGCTTGCCAGTCTCACAGTGGCCATTTTTCACTGAGACTAGTACTAGTGCTTTAATCAACTCACTCCTGGTTACAGGTGCCCTGGGAGGGAAAAACAAGCTGAGGAACAGGCCAGTGTCTGGGGAGAATGTGAAGGCGACCCCCGGGAGTTTCGAGCGTACCTTGTTTGCACACTGCTTACACTGCTTCTCATCCAAGCAGTCGCCTGCCACTTTGGCCAGGGCAGGATCCAGGGGGTTATCCTTCAGGTCCAGCCACTTCAGGCTCTACACAGATGGGCAGAGAGTCTAGTTAAGCCTGAGGATGCAGATGGAGTCCCCCCAAGATGGAACAAAAGGAGGAGGAAGGAAGCTCTGATTGTGTTCTAGCTGCAGGGAACAGCCACCTGCCGGGCAGAGCCAAATACCACCCAGGTGCTGTTCCTACCGTCTTTCTCCCAGCCACGCCCCGGCTGACCGTTTGCTACACCTGGCCATAAACCATTGGTTCACGAATTGTTACCTTGAGCTGAGCAAAGCTGACAGGCAGGGTAACCAGCCTGTTGTTGAGGAGATCCAGGTGCTGGAGGTTGACCAGCCGGCCAAAGTCCGCGGGCAGCTGCTGAAGCTTGTTTTTACTCAGGTCCAGCTTCACCAGGTGTGTCAGGCTGCAGAACTCCGACTAAGACCCAGAGAGAGAACACCTAAGCTCAGAGACTGTGATGGAACAGTCAGAAACCTATGTTCAGTCAGAGGTGCCTATGGATAAGTGGTCACTGCCTCTTACCAGCCAGTCTATCTTGAATGAAGGACTTTAAATGTCCACTCCTGGTGATAATTAATAGAAAAAGGCCTGGCACGTGCCCTAGCAGAGGGTCTTGGTGTTTGTTCCTTTATCCTTAGTTCTCTCCCTACCCCACCCTCCACATCTATACTGGCGTGATCAGGTATCCATATGATGGCCCACAGCACTTTATATTCACCTTTCATAGGATCTGTCAAAACATGTGAGGGTCCATTTTCCTATAGATCAAGCGCTCCTTAAGTACCTAGTCTTTGTTATTAACAGCACCTAACACAGTGCTTAGCACAAGTGCTCGGTTAAGTGTTCTCTCAATGACCGAGTGGGTGAATGCACTGAAGCCAATCTTACCCATATCATCTCTGGCACAGACCAAAATATTCACCCTGTCATTAAACCTTTGCTAAGTCCCCATCTGCAAGTGATGGTACAACCTCATCTAATGAGGCACTGTTCGTGCTCTCCTGAGACCTGTAAACGCCAGCAGATCTGCACTGCAGTGAGACGGGAGGCACAGACAAGGGACGAATTCAGATCAAACAGTGCAAGTGAAGTAATGACTGGCCACCTGTGTATAGCAGGCGTGAAAGCTGAAATTACCCCTCCTCTTTAATTAGAAGGATAAGACACTCCTGGAAGAAATGGGATTTCAGACACTTCTTGAATGTTACCAAGAGTTCTTGATGAGCCGTGAGGAGAGGCCATCACCAGTGAGTGAAGCCCAGGAGGACACTGGGAGGGGAATGGACTAATGAGCCAGTCAAGAAACTGCCAACTTTGAAGACTCGATCCCTGTGCCAAGGCAAAGTAGGAAGCTGCCCCAGAGTGGATGCCATGAATAAGGTGGCCACAGTGGGCTGGGGGAGAGGCTGTACTGCCAGCCAGCTCAGAGCCTGACCGTGAGCCCTACAGTAAGGGGAGAGTGGCCATCACCTAGGGGCGAGGGACAGGCTGACCAAATCTAACACACAGGTGAAGCAGAAGGAAATCTTGGATAAGCCACACAAGAAAAAGCAAAAATATGTGGCCAGATACTTTATGTACCAAATAAACAAACAAACAAAAAAACCTCCAGCAAATCTCAAGTAGCTCAAGTCCATCTCTGGGAGGATAATTACCCATAAAACGATATTCTTTCTGCTTCCTTCCTCTTTAAGAGAAGCACAAGGATATTGTTTACAAACATGTTCTTTCTGGATTGTGGAGCAATGTGCAAAATGGTCTCTAGTCCCTTTTAGACAATAGGGAGGTTCTGTATCTTTCAGAAGAATGAAATGAGGCAGAAAGAAAAAGTATGACCCCCAAGTAGTGACTCAGGCAGCATCCCGCTGACTTGGGTTTCCTCCCTGAGCGAAGCCTTCTCCCCCTCATCTCCATTTGGAGTTAGCAGCAGCCTATCAAGAGTATGGGCCTTATGACATAAACCCCCAAACAGGAAAGAGCAGCCCCCAAGGCTCCAGGAGGGGTTAAGGGCTTGTAAATCTTACCGGTAGAGTGGCGAGTTTATTGCAGGACAGATCCAGAATGGTGGCCTTTGGGAGTGCAGCCTAGGAAAAATGGTAAGATTAAAAAAACAAACAAAAAACCCCACACACAAAACAAATGTTAAATTAACCTGGGCTGATTCAGTCACATCTGCTGATGAAGCATTATCCTGAGGAAGTTCCCACAGCTAAGAAAAAAGGCCCTAAAATTCTGTATAATGTTCCTGGGGATAAAAGAGGGAGCAAACGAACCAGCCAACAACCACCCAGGGAAGAATGCAAAGACTAGAAATTTAATATGTGGAACATTCAAGAAAGAAATGTAGACTTTCAGAAATTCTACACGGAACTTTAATTTTTCTTTAGTAGCCTCTGTCATTTTATACTTAATTACAACGCTTGCATGAACCCTTATTAAGTTTCACGGCAGGGACTATGTATATTATAGCTTTCCAACTTCCATAGGGAGCTCCGGTGGCCTCGTGGGCGAAGAGTTACACTGCCAACTCAAAGGCAAACAGTTCGAATTCACCAGCTGCTCAGAGGGAGAACGATGGGTAATCTCCCATTTGATTTACAGGAGGGTTAGCTGTGCAATAGTTCCCACTCAAGGTAAATAAGTATGTTGTTGGTATGTACTATGGAGCAATTCCCATATCCCCCAGCTTAGGGCCTTTCTCACAGCAAGCACTCCACGTATGTACTGGCTGAATTATCACAGCCAAAGTGAAAACTAGGCCCTCAAAGCCCATCTCCTTTCCCCCAAGTTTTCAGGGCTGGGGAGGCTCAGCCAATGAGAGTCTTCTTTCCTCTCTAGGGGCCAGACTGTGCTGACTATCTGCCTGGAGTTCAAGGTTTTGGACAGCATTCCTAAGCCAAGCTGATGCAACACTGGGTTTCTTCTGTGGTGGGAAGGAAGCAAACATTCAGTCAAGGACCCGAGGACACTGTATTTTCCAGCTGTCAGAAAGTCCCAAGAATGGCATTTGGTGACTTAAAGCTTTACATGTTACCGTAGGAAAAGCACCATGAATAGAGCATTGCACTTCAGTCTTTGCTACCTGCCAAGCATATTATGTGTAAAATTATATTTACCCCTATGTTTTATAAATGAGGAAACCTAGGCATAAAAGGGAGATCTGATGTTATAAGGAGGTGGGCATCTCTATGGTGGTTCTTCTCCCTCAACCTCTGCAGGAGAAGATAGGCAATCTCCTCCTACGGGATTTACTGGAGGATCCGTATGAGTTGGTTCTGAATCAATGGCCAAAGGAGTGAGATACCATAAAGGTCAACTGGCTTACCAAGGGCACTTAGCTATTAAGCAATGTGGCTGGGACTTCAACTTGGGAATCCCTTTCTAACTACCATAAAACACTGCCATCGTGGAGGGAAGATTGAGCCAAGAATGAGGACAAAATGTAAAGGCCTTGAAACAAGTGTAGGTCATCCACAGCGGGAGGGGCCGTGCAAGGGGCTGGGGTGTGGGATCCGGCCCTTTGGCACCGCACCAGCTGTGGGGCTTCAGGCCTCTGTTTCCTGGGGGCGCGTGGTCGGGGGGAGGTGCAAGATGAGCGGTAGAGCGCGGGATTCCCGCCAGTTTCAGCAGTTTGCAGGAGACCTTGCCAACCAAGCAGTGAGATTTGCATTCATCAGGGGAGGCCGCCTTAGGGATGGGACAGCCGCAGGCGACTTCCTAGGAAAGACCAGTTCGAGGCCACACCCAAGGCTACCCAGAGGCCTAAATGCTAGACCGAGTCATTCATTCGTTTGGTCATTCATTCCGGACTGCAGCTACCAAAAGCTCCGACGGTGACTACTTCGGGTCGCGCACCGCGCTGGGACTCGTAGGTGCCCCCCAGATTAGGGCGAAATTAGCTCCTGGTCCGGACAAACAGATCCACCCCATCTGCTGGAACTGCGCCAAAGTGACACGTGTACATCCCGGGAAGAACACTGGGGACCCGGGCAGCTTCCCTGCGCCCAAGAACCCACCCTCTTCTCTTCGCAGATCGGGACATTAAGGCGGGGGCCAGGGAGGCGGCCCACACGGGGGCCATGCCCAGCGCCGGCGGGCCACGAGCTGGCGCCGGACTGTACTAACCAGCTCCTTGACGGGGACCTCGGTCAGGTTGCCGAGGCTCAGGTCCAGCTCGTTGCCGTCCAGCTTGTCGCGGAGGCTCCCGCCCTTGCTACCGGCCTTGGTCATTGTGACGCCGGCTGAGCGGGCCCCTTCTTTGGGACTCTGATTGGCAAAAAGGAAGGGGCTGGAGGCTGCTCGTCTGTTCAGCCGATTAGCACTCAAGCTACAGCGCCGTTGACCTTTGCCGCTGTAGCTGCGAGCTGCCGCCGCCGCCTGCCCGCAGATCTCACACGGAGTCCCGCACCCAGCTCCCACCGGTGCAGCCGCGACGACTGCCACTTCCGTGTCCACGTCACCTTCCGCGGCCACTGAGACGAGCTGGGCCAGAGCGGCTCACGCGTGCTCGAGCGCGCCACCTGGTGACTGGCACAGCACATTGCGTGTCACCACCACCGCCGGAGAAGGCGCTGGGTTAGGTTTTCCGCCCAGAAAGTCCGATTCGAAGGTGGCCTCCAGTCGGCATCGTCATCGCAAACACGAAGAAAGGAAAGCAGACAGGACCAGGCACCAGAAGCCCTGAGCGCACATCCAAAACTGATCTCATCAGATTGCTCCCATGCGCCTGGAATAGAGGCCGCAACTGGATGTCCTCCAAGACTGCGTCGACTCATAGCGATCCCATTGGACATAGTCGAACTAACTGCACCATAGGATTTTCAAAACTATATGCTTGACAGAAGCAAAACGGCTGACATTTTACCTAGCGGCTAACTCGCTTAAACACTGCGTCACCAGCGGCTCCTTCCTTCCATCCAACTCTCAACATCATCTGGAAAACTTGACCTCCTGAATTTCTCTCCTCTCTGCACTGCTTCAGCCTTTTTCCAGGCTTGCATCTGGAGCAAGCCAATAACCTCCCGCCCTCCTCCACTTAGCTGCCAGGATGATCTTCCTAAATAACTAGCCTCTATTTAAAATCTTTAACTACTAGTAGGATATTAATCACACTGCTTCCTAGGCTGGATGTGTCTGGCAGATTTCTGCAGCCTCCTCTCAAACCCCAAACCCTGCTTGATCCCGTGTACACTTGCTGTGATGGCCTGTACACTTTCTCCTCTCTTGGAACAACACACCTTCTCTGCCTAGGGGATTCCTGGTCTTTCAGGCAAAGCTCCATGGACCAGCAGGAACCCTGGCCCAAGTTAGATGTCTCCGTCAACGTTGGTACCTGAGACTTTATAGCCTTGTGCTGAAATGGGGCCTGTGACATTAGAATGTCTGGGTATTTTTAATCCTGCCTCCGTTACTTAATAGGACACTATCAAGTGAATTTATTACTCATGTCCTCATCTGGGGATATGGGAGAAATGTGAATATTAATGATGCCCCACTCATAAAGTTTTAAGAGGATTGAGCAAGTAAAACATGAATAGCTTAAAACAGCAAGTTCTTGGGAAATACCCAATAAACCTTAGCTGTAATTATGCTATTATGTATTATTGTTGTGTGCCGCCTAGTTGAACTTTTCATTGACTTTCCAGTGGGTTTTCAGAAGCAATAAATCACAGGAGCGGAGATTGGCCATCTTTCCTCTGAGAAGCAGCTGGTAGATTCAAATGGCCTGCCCTCAGGTTGGCAGCATAACTCCTTATCACTGAGCCACTAAAGCTCCCTACTCTGAACTAGACTTATCTTTTCATGTCTGTCCAACTCTTTGAACTGTATAAAGGCAGAGATTTTATCTTAATCATTTTGTATCCTCAGTATCTGAGTCATAATAATTGCTTCATAAGTGGGTGTTGAATGAACTAATGGATCACATTACTCACCCCAAACCTCAGTTTGCTCATCTTTGAAATGGATTAGTAAAGAACCATGAAGTACAATAGACTCACTACTACCACCATCAAGACAAAGTTCTCATTGGCCTTTTTTGAAATGTTTTTGTTGTTGTTAGATGCCATTGAGTCAGAACTGACTGATGGCTGACCCTTCAGTGGGGTTTCAGAGGCTATAAATTGCATGGGAGGAGATTGCCAACCTTTCTCTCACAGAGCAGCAGGTGGATTCGAACCACCTGCTTTGGGTTGGCAGCACAACTCCCAAGACCACCCAGAGCTCCCTTCTGGGAATAGACAAGGGCAACTGGGCAACACACTTACCAACATGATTAGGTTCCAGACATTAGGTTAGGATCCAAAGATCAGGTTATTATGCAAAAGCTAGCATTATGCAAAACTGAAGATTTACCCCATCAGGTCACAAAACAGAGGACAGCTACAAAACTACAAAATTATTAAATCACATCTTTATAACTGCCAGACTACTGAGAATTATGTCCAAGCCAAGTTGACTATAAACTTAGCCATACAATCAACATTATGCTTTGCCTAGCAACTCAACATTTGTTACCACCAGACACAATGTTGTTAATAAATAAAACAGTTGGATACTGGAATGTTTACTATTGTAAATGCAAAATATTGGATAATGAGATTGTGGGGAAATGAATAGATATAATACATTGGAATCTGGCAGCTTCTAAAGCCTTTGAGCATTCATTTTCTTATTTTGCTAATGTGCAGGAGGAGATTACGATCACACATTTTGTTGTTATTCTTCTTTTATGGAAGAACAAACCAAGCTCAGAAAGAAGTAATTTGTCTTCAATCACACAGCTGGTTGCGGACCAACTAAATATTTTATCTCAAATTCTGTATCTTCTCACCAGACCTTAATTTCCCTGTTCTTAAGAAATTGTTGTTGTTATGTGCCATCAAGTCGCTTACAACTCATAGAGACCCTGTGTACAACAGCCCTAAACTCTGCTCTATCCTGTGCCAATCGCACTGCCTCCCACACACCCATCCCAATTACCCCAGTCACTGAATCAATCCACCTCATAGAGGGTTCCCCTTCTGCGCCGTCCCTCCACCCTCCCAAGCATGATGTCCCTCTCCAAGGACCTCTCCCTCCTTACAGCATGTCCAAAGTATGTCAGACAAAGCCTCAGAATCTTTGCCTCCAAGGAGCAGCCTGGATGAATTTGTTTTTCTTGGCAGTCCAAGGTACATTCAATACTCTTCTCCAGCACCACAGCTCAAAGTCATCAATTCTCCTTCTATCCTCCGTGGTCATTGTCCAACTCTCTGATGCATAACAAGTGATTGCAAAGACCATAGCCTGTATCAGAAACACCTTAGTCTCCAGAGTAACACCATTGCTCTTCAGTGTCCTGGAGAGGTCTCTAACAGCAGACTTTCCCATCGCAATACGTTTTTTGATTTCCTGACTACCCATAAACCCACTGCTGCTGATTCTGACGCATAGTGATCCCACGTGTTACAGAGCAGAACTGCTCCAGAGAGTCTTCTTGGCTGTAATCCTCACGAAGGGAGCTCTAGGGGCCTAGTGCACAGGAAGTTGTCTCCTAACCCAAAGATGGCACCTCTCTGGCAGTTCTCACAATTTGTAACCCAAGGATCTTAAGGAGCCTCCAGTCCACATGAATAATAACTGTATAAGGTAGAAAGGAGACATGTCCTAATATAGGTGAAACTTGTGAGTGGACATTTGAGGATGATAATGTTGGCCTTACATATTAAGCACATTCTATGTGCAAAGAACTGTGTTTACATAAAATATTTCCTTTAACTCAAGCTTTATTAACAGTTCTCTAAGGTAGATACTATTTCTGTTTTACAGGGGAAAAAACCCAAAAAACTCAAGGAGGCCAAGCATTTAAATATACCTTTTTTAAAATTTTTTTTATTTTTATTGTGTACCCTCAAGTCAGATCTGATTGGCATGGGATGAGATTGTTCCTCCTTCTCCAGTGGAGCATCTGGTGGATTCAAATCACGTACCTTTGAGATTTCAGCACAGCTTCTTACCCCTAGGCCACCAGAGCTCCTTCTAGGCCAAGCTTTTAATCACTACTCCTTCACCCAGATTGCCCAATTGATAATAGTCTTGGTACGTGAGTAAACATGTTGTATAAAATATAGATCCAAAAATTCTGGAAATAAAAGGAAGCATTTTTAAATAATTAAGGGAAGCATTCAAATCTTCACTTTTTCAAAACTGGCACAAAATAAAATTAGGAAAGAGAAGGACCTCATGCTCGGAAGGGTGGAGGGACAGCACAAGAGAGGAAGACCCTGGATGAGATGGATTGACACAGTGCCTGGGGCAATGGGGTAGATGTGTCAGAGACAGTGAGATTGGCTCAGGATAGAGTAGGCTTCAGAGCTATGGTGCATCGGGTCACTATGAGTCACAGTCGACTCAACGGCACATAACAACAACAACAAAGGTGGTAGTGGGAACCCAGAACAAAGAAAAGAAAAATGGGTTCATAACTAGCTTGAACGTAGGGGGAGCTGAGAAGGAAAAAAGACATTAGGAAGGCCTCCCTGGGGGAGGGACATTTATGTTGGGCTTTTTTTTTTTATATGGATTATCCATTATAATCCTTCCATAATGGTGTGATAAATAGTTCTGGTGGCATAGAGAGTTCTTCTGATAACCTTAAGGTGACCAGTTCAAATCCACCAGCAGCTCCAAGAGAGAAAGAGGGGTAAACCCCTCCCATGTGATTTGCAGCATCAGAAAACCCACTGCAGGGTCCACTATGAGTCAGAAAGTGAGGATGGAACAGCTGTGAATCGTTTAAATGTAATTCTTAGCTAGCTAGCTACCAGCAGTTCTTGGGGAGAAGATGAGCAATCAATTTACACGTGGTTTACAGCCTATGTTGGGCTTTGATGAATGGATTCAATTCAAACAAGCAGAGATGGGAGGTATTAGCTTTGGGGAAATCCTTCTTGGATCCCTGAAGCTGGAAACTCAGCAACTTTTCCGGGGGGGGGGAGGGGAATGAAGTTGGTCAACCAATTAGGCAGCTTTTTCCTGGAAAACAGTTGTTATTAGGTGCCATTAAGTCAAGTATGAGTCTACGAACATCAAATCTGAACCCCGTCCTATCCTGTGCCATCCTCGTCATCTCTGCAATACTTGAGCCCATTGGGGCAGTCACTGCGTCAATCCTTCTTGTTGAAGTTCTTCCTCTCTTTTGCTGACCTTCCATTTTTCCAAGCATGATGTCCCTTTCCAGGGAACAACCC